AGGGAAAGCACTCCCAGCACAGTGCCCAGCATTCAGCACTCTTCTCCTTATTTCATCTAGAAGTAGAACTACTAGACACGTGATCTGCTTCCCAAATACCTTCTGGGTACCCTAATGTGCACACAGAATGCACTAAAACGTACAGAATACCCAATCCATATTGTGGGAGACAGACCAATAGTGGTTCATATCACAGAAGGCATGAGGAATATGGGACTAGAACACAGGCTTACAATCCTCCTGGATCTGGAGCATGGCCTCGGGCTGCTCAAAGCCGTCACCAGTGGTCTGACGTGGACAAGTCTAACACCGTGTCTAGGTGTCTACACTGCATCCTCAACACACGCCCTAATTCAGTGGCACATGTACACAATGGACCATTACTCAGCCGTAAACAAGAATGAAGTAATGCCATTGCAGCAACATGGATGCAACTAGAGATTATCATACTAAGTGAAGTAAGTCAGAGAAAACAAAGACCATATGATGTCGCTTATATGTGGAATCTAACACATGACACAAATGAACTTACTTACAAAACAGAAACAGACTCACAGACATAGAAAACAAACTCATGGTCACCAAAGGGGAAAGGGAGGAGGGATAAATTAGGAGTTTGGGATTAGCAGATACACACACTATATATAGTGCTATGTATAAAATAAACAACAAGGTCCTACTGTATAGCACAGGGAACAATAGTCAAAATCTTATAATAAACCATAATGGAAAAGAAAATGAAAAAATATGTACATATAACTGAATCACGTTGCTGTACACCTGACACTAACACAATATTGTAAATTAACAATACTTCAATTAAAAAATAAGAAAATAAAGAATAGAATTTTTTAACATCTTTATTAGAGTATAATTGTTTTACAATGGTGTGTTAGCTTCTGCGGTATAACAAAGTGTGTCAGCTATATGGATACATACATTCCCATATCCCCTCCCTGTTGCGTCTCCCTCCCACTTTCCCTATTCCACCGCTCTACGTGGACACAAAGCATCGAGCTGATCTTCCTGTGCTATGTGGCTGCTTCCCACTACCTATCTATTTTACATTTGGTAGTGTATGTATGTCCATGCCACTCTCTCACTTCGTCCCAGCTTACCCTTCCCCCTCCCCGTGTCCTCAAGTCCATTCTCTACGTCTGTGTCTTTATTCCTGTCCTGCCCCTAGGTTCTTCAGAACCATTTTTTTAAAATTCCATATATATGTGTTAGCATACAGTATTTGTTTTTCTCTGACTTACTTCACCCTGTATGACAGACTCTAGGTCCATCCACCTCACTACAAATAACTCAATTTTGTTTCTTTTTACAGCTGAGTAATATTCCATTGTATATATGCACTGCATCTTCTTTATCCATTCATCTGTTGATGGATACTTAGGTTGCTTCCATGTCCTGGCTATTGTAAATAGAGCTGCAATGAACATTGTGGTACATGATTCTTTGAATTATGGTTTTCTCAGGGTATATGCCCAGGAGTGGGATTGCTGGGTGGTATGGTATTGCTGGGTGGTATAGTTCTATTTTTAGTTTCTTAAGGAACCTCCATACTGTTCTCCACAGTGGCGGTATCAATTTACATTCCCACCAACAGTGCAAGTGGGTTCCCTTTCCTCCACACCCTGTCCAGCATTTATTGTTTGTAGAATTTTTGATGATGGCCATTCTGACTGGTGTGAGGTGATACCTCATTGTAGTTTTGATTTGCATTTCTCTAATGATTAGTGATGTTGAGCACCCTTTCATGTGTTTGTTGGCAATCTGTATATCTTCTTTGGAGAAATGTCTATTTAGGTCTTCTGCCCATTTTTGGATTGGGTTGCTTGTTTTTTTGATATTGAGCTGCACGAGCTACTTGTATATTTTGGAGATTAATCCTTTGTCAGTTGCTTTGTTTGCAAATATTTTCTCCCATTCTGAGGCTTATCTTTTTGTCTTGTGTATGGTTTCCTTTGCTGTGCAAAAGCTTTTACGTTTCATTAGGTCCCATGTGTTTATTTTTGCTTTTATTTCCATTTCTCTGGGAGGTGGGTCAAAAAGGATCTTGCTGTGATTTATGTCATAGAATGATCTGCCTATGTTTTCCTCTAAGAGTTTTATAGTGTCTGGCCTTGCATTTAGGTCTTTAATCCATTTTGAGTTTATTTTTGTGTATGGTGTTAGGGAGTGTTCTAATTTCATTCTTTTACATGTAGCTGTCCAGTTTTCCCAGCACCACTTATTGAAGAGGCTGTCTTTTCTCCACTGTATACTCTTGCCTCCTTTATCAAAGATAAGGTGCCCATATGTGCGTGGGTTTATCTCCAGGTTTTCTATCCTGTTCCATTGATCTATATTTCTGTTTCTGTGCCAGTACCATACTGTCTTGATTACTGTAGCTTTGTAGTATAGTGTGAAGTCTGGGAGCCTGATTCCTTCAGCTCCGTTTTTCTTTCTCCAGATTGCTTTGGCTATTCGGGGTCTTTTGTGTTTCCATACAAATTGTGAAATTTTTTGTTCTAGTTCTGTGAAAAATGCCATTGGTAGTTTGATAGGGATAGCAATGAATGTATAGATTGCTTTGGGTAGTATAGTCATTTTCACAATGTTGATTCTTCCAGTCCAAGAACATGGTATATCTCTCCATCTGTTTGTATCATCTTTAATTTCTTTCATCAGTGTCTTATAGTTTTCTGCATACAGGTCTTTTACCTCCTTAGGTAGGTTTGTTCCTAGGTATTTTATTATTTTTGTTGCAGTGGTAAATGGGAGTGTTTCCTTAATTTCTCCTTCAGATTTTTCATTGTTAGTGTATAGGAATACAAGAGATTTCTGTGAATTTTGTATCCTGCTACTTTACCAAAATCACTGATTAGCTCTAGTAGTCTTCTGGTAGGATCTTTAGGATTTTCTGTGTATAATATCATGTCATCGGCAAACAGTGACGGTTTTACTTCTTTTCCGACTTGGATTAGAATGTTTTTTAAAAGGTCAATTCTAAAATATCTAATGGATATAAGTGCTTCTGAAACCAAAACTACAAACACTGCTACACCTTCTTTGAAAAAAGCACAAAATGATATAGCTGTTAATGGAAAAAAACTGGACAGGTATCAATCACCTTGTGAGGTTCAGACAAGCCTCACTCCAGCAACGACTAACACCTTCCTTCGGGAATAATAAGCCATTCGTGTTTTCTGGGTTGATTTTGGGAACTCTGCTTTCACTTGTGTTTACCTAAACTTGGCTAGACCCTGATAGATGCAGGTGTGACACAAGGACAGGAGGACGGGGGGGGCAGGTGCAGCATCACTGTTCTCATGCTTTCCGTGCCCTCTGTGAACAGGAGCCGTGGATCAATAGCAGGTGTTTTAGACCAAATTTACATGGGAAATACCTGAAGGGCTGATGTATATACATAGAAAGAGACATTCCACTGAAAGCAAACGTATTATCCTTCATCTATAAAAATGTTGCTGACATCACCAAAGGGCTGTAAGCAATGGGTTTTTATTATCTAGTAGTAGTGACAGGTCTACACAGAAACATCACCACACTTTTCTCCAAAAATATGTGTTTAGGAAACCACAGGTACAACATCTACATCTAATCCTTCAGAGACTGTTCATGAATCACATGTCAGTCTCTGGGGACTTCAATCTCACTTGTGTGCGAGTCCAAGAGGACTACAGTCTTGATAAGAAATGATTAAGTGACTTTTTTTGTCTATTAAAAAAAAAAAAAGAGGAAATCCACCCCAGACATAGGCATTGTCTATAACTGAGGTTCTCTGAGAGTCGGGGCTGATTCAAAAGAGAAGATTGAAGGAAAGGGCTCCATTGGAACCAGTTGATCATGTACCAAGGAGACTTCTCTGAATAGGACACCAGTCACTCACCTTCAGATGTTCTTTCTGTATGTTTCTTCCTGCAGTGAGCTGTGACATGGACTCTATTCCCATCAACACATGAGAAGTCATGTAGCCCTTTCATTTTATCACCTATGCACCAGAGCTTGTGACACAAGGGTGACAGAAGTCCTAGATAATTTTAAAGCAATTCAAACAATCAAAATTAGATTTTTTGGGACTTCCCTGGTGGTCCAGTGGTTAAGAATCCGCCTGCTAATGCAGGAGACACGGGTTCGAGTCCTGGTCCGGGAAGATCCCACACGCCGCAGAGCAACTAAACCCGGGCGCCACAACTACTGAGCCTGTGGCTCTGGAGTCCATGAGCCACAATTACTGAGCCTGTGTGCCGCCACTACTGAAGCCCGCGTGCCTAGAGCCCGTGCTCCGCAACAAGAGAAGCCACCGCAATGAGAAGCCCGCGCACCGCAATGAAGAGTAGCCCCCACTCGCTGCAACTAGGGAAAGCCCGTGCGCAGCAACGAAGACCCAACGCAATATAAAATAATAAATAATTTTTTTTTTAAAAATTAGATTTTTAAAAAATTAGTAGTTTCACAAGTCCTTTTCAAACTAAAAACGTGCTGCTTTAACACTCATGAAGTAATCTGGGCTTAAATTCCCTTTCTTCAATTTTCATTTCTGCAACGCTTAGCAGGCAGAGGTTGCCAACCCAGATGGGGAAGGGAAAGGTTCAAGCCTATCAGAAAAACCTATGAATTGCTAAAAATCATTATAATGGCTATAGCTATATAAAATAATAATGCATATCTAAACTTAATGAAAACATGCTTAGTCTCTGAGACTAAATTTTTGTGAAGAAAGCAATGAGAAAATCAAACTCTCATCAACTTTTGAATTCTCTGGCCTCTGTAAGGATGTTTAATACTTTTCAGGAAGGTGTCATAGTCTTATTGTTTATAATGGGTAGATAATGCTCATAAGAGCATCTTAAACTTTTCTCGGTCTTGTGAATGAAGAATTCTATAAAACACTTCTGTCAATGCATCTGAGGAGCCCTTAGGCACCTCTACAAGACGGTTCAAAAACGTAATACAAAAATCAGCTTTGGGAAATTATTCTTTAAATGAATTACCTATGTTAATTGCAGTTTCTTGTTTGTCGCCCGTCAACACCCATATTTTAATTTCTGCCTTCAACAGAGTTGCTATGGTTTCTGGCACGCCTGCCTGAAGACGATCTTCTATGGCTGTGGCTCCAAGAAGCAGCAAATTCTAAATTAAAAAAACAGCTTCCATTAAAGATAGGGACACACGTAAGAGCAGCATGAATGATGAAACTCTTGACAAAAGAAAGGCAGTCAAAGTGTTCTGAGACAATTACCTCATTTCCTCCACATTAAACCTTTGTCTGCAGGTAATTAATGACAGTCACATGTGTGGCATCTCAAAACCATCCACAGGGCTAGAACCCCTCCACACACATAGGCCAGCACATGCCATCTACTTCTGGGTACACGGGCACCTTGGGATAGGAAACCACCTGGGAAACCACCTGGCAGCAGAGCACATGGGTGAGTTATCCTGGGGACACTAACAGGACTGAGGCTTCTCTCTCACTCCACTCATGAGTCAAGGGCTGTGGTACAGTTAACACATGAGAAAAAACTATTCAGTGACCAAAACGGCCAACTACCTCCCGAGTGCCCACCTCTGGCCAGGGGACGCACAGACATCGCACCTATTTAATTGCTTTATGATTCTCAAAGTAATTTTGGAATTTCCAGGGAAGCAGGGTAAATGAACATTTGATTTCACTTCCATCCATACCCAAGTTCCATTAAAATGACAAACAAGGGGGAAAAAAATCAAAGGGGAATTTAAAAAAGATAAATAAAATAAAGGAATGAGAAAAGCAAGCAAGCAATGACTTCAAAGCTACTGAAACTGGAAGATGGATGGACCAGTGGTTGCTGACATGAAACGGAAAAAGCTGAAATCCAGCTCCCAGATTCGAGGGATTCAATCTGTGGGAAGCTACCTCATGTCTTGGGAGGAACTGAAATAACAACCAAATCACGTGGGCAGCGTGGAGCGGCAATGGCAAAGCTCAAAGAGGACAGCAAGTGTGAAAACATTTAGCAGGTGCGATGTCCAGCCAGCCTAGGCATTTTGACTGCTCAGGAAACTCAACAGGGCCAGCTAACGTCGTTACACCTCATCTTAGGCAAACCCAGAGAGTCGCCGATGCCGTTTTTGACCTGATACTTCTTAAGATGTGAATGCTTAGCAGAGGGTGGCTAGACCTTTCGGAGAGCTCATAAAAACTGAGTGTTTCTTAAAGCAAAGAAACGATTAAAAGCTAATGGTGAGTTAAGATACTTACAAGATCAGAGGACATCACTATATAGCCAAAAGATTTTCTGCACCAAAACTTTTTTGCTCATTAGGTGTCACCGGGCATGTAATGTAACGCATCTACCACGTGCAATTACCTTCTCAATGATCTCGTAACACTCTTCCAGCCGCTGAGCTCTGTCCTTCAAGATGGTGCTGGCTTCTTGGTAGACTTTGAGCCACTCTGCATAATCACCCTCAGAGAGGTCGGCGTAAGCCACACAGAGGGTCCGCAAGCCTGCAAAACGGTCCCGCATCTCCCAGTGAGGGCCCAGTGACGGGCAAGCAGGGTGCCTTACCCCCAGGGGACACCGCGTGTGCAGAAAATCAAAGAGACCATCCACTTCATAGGTCACTCTAAGTCAACGTGCACACACTCAAAATGAATTGAAAAGCAACCTTATTTTAATATAAACCACTGCTTCTATAGATGTTGACGGAACAGGAGAAGCCATGAGACTGAACTCCTCACAGCAGAGAAGGACAGAAGCTGCGCTCGACCCACACACACGAGGAGGGACGCACTGACATCACACCTATTTAATTGCTTTATGATTCTCAAAGTAATTTTGGAATTTCCAGGGAAGCAGGGTAAATGAACACTTGATTTCACTTCCATCCATACCCAAGTTCCATTAAAATGACAAACAAGGGGGAAAAAAATCAAAGGGGAATTTTAAAAAAATAAATAAAATAAAGGAATGAGAAAAGCAAGCAAGCAATGACTTCCCGTCAGCCAGGAGGCAAGATGGGAAGTGTGTTTCACAACAGCAGTAAAGGCCCAGTGTGCTACCACGTGAAAGACACAGGCTTTCAAGCAGCCGTGCTTGTGTGTGCGCCTGTGTGCATGTGTCTCTGTGTGTGCCCCTGTGTGGATGTGTCCCTATGTGTGCGCATGTGTGTTCCCTGGTGGGCATGTGTGTCCCTGTGTGCATGTGTTCCTATGTGCACACGTGTGTTCTCTGGTGTACATGTGTGTGCCTGTGTGTGCAAAGACGTGGATACATGCGGCCAGAGAGGCTCAGGAAGGCAACGAGGCAGCAGCCGGCACTCAAGCTCTCATCACATCCATGTGCAGGGGAGCCTGACAGGAGTGTTGTTTTTGTTTTTGTTTTTTTTCGGTACGCGGGCCTCTCACCGCTGTGGCCTCTCCCGTTGTGGAGCACAGGCTCCGGACGCGCAGGCTCAGCGGCCATGGCTCATGGGCCCAGCCGCTCCGCGGCATGTGGGATCTTCCCGGACCGGGGCACGAACCCGTGTCCCCTGCGCCGGTAGGCGGACTCTCAACCACTGCGCCACCAGGGAAGCCCATGAGTGTTGTTTAAAGCCCTTCTGAGAACTCCCTTCCTGTTCTCCATGGGTTCAGTGGATTATTCTTGCCTGAAGTGTAGGGTAAGCCAGTGTCATAAGGGAAACGACAGAGAGCCTGGGAAATAAGGTGAGTTTTCCGAGAAAGGAGTGCAAAACCGGAGGGCGATTCTGCATAGCATCGTGGGCTGGCCTGCCTCACGCTCGTCCCTCTGGTTAAGAGTTAGCAGATGACATTTAGGTAACAGAGCAGTCGGTCTACAGCCACGACTCTTGTCACTGCCACCGCCACCGATGCAGAGGGTGGGGACGGGGTTGGCACTAGAAAACGACCCGCCTTTGAAGCAAGCCAAGTGCTGCACAAAAATGACACGTGAACACGAAGGCTCACCCGACTGCCCCCTGAAAGCACAGCTCCAAGGGCAGAAATAACGTTTCCAAATTCCACTCACCTTCCGTGGCAAAATACTCCAGATGGCATAGTGTTTCCTCCATGTATTTTGAATCTTTAGAAAGTCTCTCAAAAATCACGCTATCCTGTAAAATAGGGAAACACTGTGACCGGCAAACCTCAGGTCAGCTGACGCTCTAGCACCGCAAGCCCAGCTCTGTTTTCGTGGTGTGGATCCAGCGCACACCTGGGTGGACGACGGGAAACACAGTTCTCGGCTGGATTCAGTCATGAGCTTTGGAAAACAACCTGGGGGTGGGTATGTGTCCACACAAACACGCCGGGGAGGACCCTGGGTGTCAGGAGAATGAATAATCAGGGACACGACGGGGCCGACGTTCACCTAGATTTGCAAAGCTCACACCAGACTTTGTTAACACCCTTTGCAGAAGTGGGAAGCATAAAACACACACCCTAAATTGCTCAAGTGTACTCTCCCTTCCTGATGCTGCAGGAGCTCCCACCCAGGGAGGGCACGACCCACCCTGCACAGAACCTGGCTCAGCTGAGAACACACGGTGTGGACAGCTCATCACCTGGGGACTATTTCCATGACCCACAAGCAGGGCTGGAGGATTGCAGGCTACGGATCATGCATCAAATATGTGATAAATGGCAGTTTTAGGCCCCCCCAAATCTAAGAAATTTAGTTTGGTTTAGGGGAGGCAGGTTTGTGGAGAATTAAATCCTATAACAAATTAAATGCACCCCTGCAGCATTTCCTGTTGACTCTGCTCTGTGGTTGCCCCCCTTCCTCTGTACCTCACACTGACCCCTTCTGGCCTTGCTGTGGTTCTCAGAACACAATGGCAAATAAACAACCAAAAAGGTAAGAAAGAGTACCATATGAGAACAGAATCTAACATAATTATCTAATCTTTCCCAATCTAATCCAATATAATCTGGACCTTGGTGAGTCCAGATCGGATGCCTTAGAATTCACACACATTTTTACTCACTTTTTAAAAAGCTCTGTCACTGTCCTCAAATACTTCTTCCCACAATTGGTAAAGACAAGTAAGATTTCCAGCGAATCACTAATCCTAGTGTAGCCTCATATTTCCCGACATAGTCTCAAAAAATGAGCTTAGTAAGTCTTTCCCTCAACACGTAAGACCACAGTTTGACAGAATGTAGTTTTGTAGGTCAGGCTCATGAACAGTAGCATCTTTCCTTAAAGATTTAGATTCGATGACCAGGAGGCAGACAGGACAGAAAGCCTGACATAGGAAATGACCGGAGGGGGCAGTAATAATAGACCACAAATGGACACTACCTCAAACCCGCCAGCCAGCCTCTGTAGTGAATAAAAACTAAACCACGAATATCGAGAATAGCTGCTACAGAAAAAAATACACATCAGAGGGCTTCCCTGGTGGCGCAGTGGTTGAGAGTCCGCCTGACCATGCAGGGGACGCGGGTTCGTGCCCCGGTCTGGGAAGATCCCACATGCCGCGGAGCGGCTGCGCCCGTGAGCCATGGCCGCTGAGCCTGCGGGTCCGGAGCCCCTGAAACGCAACGGAAGAAGAAAAAAAAAGCCCCGGCAAAGGAAAAAAAAAAAAAAAAAAAAAAAAAATCAGAGTCCTTAAAAGATCATAGGTTGATACAACTGACTGAATCTTCCAAAGTCACCGCACGAGGACAGAAAACAGGAATCAGAATTCACACTGTAAGGATTCTGAAGGACATGGCCAGCTACTGTCTCTGAAACCGACTACCGATGAACAGCAAGCTCTCCACTGGCCTCCTTGCCGTGCTGGCTTGAACCCCTGTCATCTTCGGGGGGCTTCTACTACTAAGTCAGCGTCAGGCTGACTGAAAGAGCCTTTCAACCCTGGGCGACCATCAAGGATGACGAAAACAGCAGCTAGGGAAGCAGCAGGGGTCCCTGGCGTGCAGACCTCAGCCAGTACTTACAGCCCCTTTACAATAGAGTCGAAGCTGTCCTGAAGGGGTTCGCACAATTACAGACATTCTTTTTCTGTCGCTGTAGGGTAAAAACAAAAAAGGAAAGAAAACTGTCATTGGTCTGTTTTATAGGACCACATCCTGTGATTAAACACCAAACAACCCAAAAGGTGGTCTGGCTGGCCCCCAAATGGCCAAGCTCCATCTTCCCTACCTCTGCCCTCAAAGTCAGACTTTAATTGTGTATCTCCTACTCTTTTGCATAAACCTATTCCCTTCCCTGCCGTGGAAACTCACTAGCACAGCTCTACGATAGAAGAAGAGACAGAAATGTAGAACTTGAGCGCTTTACTCTGTGTCTAATTTGCTCCTGACAATACTGTGTCCACGTACTTTTATTTCACAGCTCAAAAATGTTCAGTTACCTGCCCAGTAAGTAGCAAAGTGCAAGATTCAGTATAAACCCACTCCACTCAAAAGCATCTCATCGTATCTTCTTTTGACTGAAGTGGAAAGAAATGATGAATTCCGAGGACCTCCCGATTTAGCGCAGAGGTCCCTTGATGGCTCCCTCCCCAGCCGCAGCCCCAAGCACATGCACAGGCACCTCCTTCCTCATCTTTCAAAGGGACCCGCCCTCAGTCAGACTCATTTCTCGCCCATCTGTATATATACAGGAAGTCCCCTCCATACGAATGAGTTCCCTTCTGAGAGAGCGCGTTCGTAAGTCCGACAAAGTTAGCCTAGGTACCTGACTAACACGATCAGCTATACAGTACCACACTGTAATGGGTTTATAATACTTTTCACACAAGTAATACATAAAAAACAAACAAAAAATAAAGAAAACACTTTAAATCTTACAGACACATGAGCTAACTCACTGGACGTGTGAATGCACGTTCGTGTCTTCGAAAGTTCACAGCTTGAAGTCTGTATATAGGGGACTTACTGTGTGTATATGTAGACAGATAGACAGATAGATAGATAGAGAGGGACAGTTTATTTCAAGTGCACAAAAGAGAAACATACCTAGAAAACTCCAGGACATTAAGGATTCCAAATGTCTCCTCCTGTCCCATCTAGAGGAAGAAAAACAGGCTTTTACCTGAAGTGCAAAGTATTAAAATCTCAAAACAACCAGCTCCCCAGTCATAAACCTCTCTATCCATGCCTCTCCCCAATCCCTCCCCTCCTCTCCCTCCCCTCCTGTTCCCTCCCTCTCTCCCTCTCCCTCCACCCATCCATCCCCCTGCAGACACCTTCCACCAAGCACTGTCTTCCCCGTCAGTCTGGTGGGACCATAGCTCCCCCTTCTGGTGGAAGCATCTCCTTTTCCTCCAGCAGGAGTGGCTGTCATAGTAGCTGATGACAGAGTAACTTCCAAGACATACAAATAAGGGACACAAGCTACACAGGTCCATCCGAGACCTGGGGCCAGTTATGCTTCCGAATCCAGAATTTTACACATCTCGCAGAAGTACGTGCACACCGTATGCCACTACATCCCCAGGGGGCCCAGGCACTACACCCTGTAATACAACACACTGGTTTCCTGCAGCAAGATGCACGGCTATCCCCACCAAGTGAGATTCATAAAGAACAGAAGTGGCTCCACGGAAGTTCCATTAGGTTTCCCTACCAAATGTCCACACCCCAAATTTAGGGGAAAAAGCGTGGAATTCAAAACTTTTTCAATTTTGGATTTAGAAACAAAGGAGTATAGCTCTGCACCAGATTTTAGGGCAATTCATCAAATGCCTTTTCTCTTCGGGTTCTTCAAAGTTGGAACGTCAATATTCTTAATTGGGCTTCCCTGGTGGCGCAGTGGTTGGGAGTCTGCCTGCCGATGCAGGAGACATGGGTTCGTGCCCCGGTCCGGCAAGATCCCACATGCTGCGGAGCGGCTGGGCCTGTGAGCCATAGCCGCTGAGCCTGCGCCTCCGGAGCTCCGCAACGGGAGAGGCCGCAACAATGAGAGACCCGCGTACCGCAAAAATAAATAAATAAATAAATAAAATTCTTAATTTTTCTCCACAAGATTCCAGATTATGTGTGCACAATTCGAAAACTTTTTAATCGAATCTGCCCTTTCCCTTGTCCCCTAGGTCTGAGAGAAATAATAACTGAAGGAACACACAGATCCCCAAGTGTGTGGCTGACACCCACAAAGCACTGGGAAGTCACACTGTCCCCTCCACAATGCCCCGCCCCTTTGCTTCCTAAAACACAATGAATGGGCCGCTTAACCCAGCCCCCCGTCAGCATTTACCCCCTTCTCTCTGCAAGCCCCAGTTCCCTTTCCCCTCAGCCTGGCCCAACTTTGCCAGGTCCCCGTCCAGAGGGTCACCGCTGCCATGCTGTGACCACAGGAAGCCCACCGCCTCTGCGTCGATGTCACATCAACACCCTCACGGCCCCCACAGACCGAATGATGACCAGTAAAGCCACTTCTTTTTTTTTTTAGAGTATGCACTTTGGCATCTGATTTTTTCTTTTCTTAAGTCTTTATTGAATTTGTTACAATACTGCTTCTGTTTTATGTTTTGGTTTTTTTTTTTTTTTTTGGCCATGAGGCATGTGGGATCTTAGCTCCCTGACCAGGGATCGAACCCGCTCCCCCTGCATTGGAGGCAGTCTTAACCACTGGACCGCCAGGGAAGACCCAAGCCACTTCTTGTAAGTAGCAGGTAACCACCTCGAGGACTTGTGGGATGAGGATTCCCCGGTATTCACAGTTGAATAGGATTTTTAAAGTTACTGTTACTTATAAATCTTATCTAATCACATGGTCTATTTACTCCATCGCCCCTCCCAATCCCCATGGCTGCACTGCGGAGAAATACAGCAGTACCCACACACCTGAAACCTGGCCATGAAGGCTAAAATCTCCCTCAAACTGGAGGTGAAGACAACACCATTGGTGAGAAGCTTCCACGAAGGAAACTCTATATTGTCAGTACATTGTCCCAACTTGTAGCGACTGTACGCTTCCCTAAGCTAAATTCCCTGTGTTGGCTGAAATCAAGCTCAAATAAACATGCTCTGATCTCTGTACTCTGTAAAAAAGAAACTGAAAATGCCGAGAAATGGGCGCTCTGTACACGGTACGATACTTTTTAGGTTTTGCACATAAGGAAAAGAAAGAACAGACTGCCGCCAGGTCAGGAACAACATCGAGTTATTACGCCAGATGGAAGCGAACTTCAAATGCCTTCAAGAGATCCAGGGATTTAAGGATGCATAACGCCAAGAGCTGTAAAAACCCGCGAGTCCTCCCCAGATTGAGGGTGGGAACAGCACAGGGGCGAGCAGGCGGGGACTTGCCCGGAGACGCTCACCCACCCAGACAGCAGTGAGCAGGGCCCCTCCAACTGCTCAACACAGAGAACGCCCATCCCACCTACCCACCCGTGTCCCTGCTGCCACCCCAAGGATCCCTATTTGACCTTATTCCCGATTCAAACTTTCTCTTCTCCCCAGATTTCTCCCTCTGGCTCCTTGAGAGGGAAACTCAAAAAAATCATAAAATAAACGTCTTGATTTCAGGGGGGAAAAACCCACATTAAAAAAAAAAAAAAAAAGATCTTAAGTGCCAACTCCCTCCTCTGTCAGCCCAGGAGACCAGAGCCAGTGACCGAGGGCTTCAGGGAGTCAGACGCAGACCCGCCCCCGAGGACAGGAGGCTGTGGAGCTTTTCCCAACAACTACGGGACCCAGAGCAGGCTTCCCGCATTCTTTACCGCACGTTACTCCACATCAGTGGATGAAAGACTGCAGACAGCGCCTTTAAGAAAGATGACGCAAAAACAACACACAGCACTGAGGCGACAGAACCACACGACATATTCTCAACACACCTAGTTTCTCACAGAGAAACAACAAACAAAAAACTCAGCACTCATATGCTCAATAGATGTGCTATTTCTAACATACAGTCTTCCAAAAAGCGGGTGACCAAGAGCGTCCGGCGGTGCCCTGGGGTGTCACTTACGGCCTCTATGATGACGGAGTAGGGCGTTCTGGCTGTGAAGACGAAGCCCAGCTTTCGAGCCCCTTTCACCAAAGCAGCTTCATCTGTCAATAAAGAATTGATGAGGCATTGACTAGTCTCTGGGAATGACAGGATTCTGTTTAGCACGTGTTATCTTTCACGTGAACGAGATCCACACCAGCGACAGAGGCCTGGCCTTTCGTGCAGTAAAGACCAAGGATCTAGAAGGCGCTCACTTACTCTCCCCCAACCAGGACCCTGAAAGGAGCGCTTCCATCAGAGGAGAAGCCACGGTCCTGGAACTAGTCCCCCCCCCCGGCACTCTGCAGCCAGCATGAGACCAGGGGCACACAGTGGGGGCTTTGCGGGGCCGCATCACCTCCCAACACCCAGGTCCCCAGAGAGGGGGGCAGCAGGGCACACCCAGCCAAGAGGCCTCACCTGGGGAGGAGGCCTGGTAGATGATGTTATCTCTGTCCTTCTCGGGGACCACGGTGTGGCACACGGCCAGGAGGGTGAGGAACTCCTGGATGCAGGGGGCTGTGGGCTGCAAACGGGAGCTGAGGTCACCCGACTGTCGGGACACCACTGACGTACACCAGAGTCAGGTTCAAGCCACCCTCCCACTTAGAACCCCGGACGCCTTCCTGCTCCCATGAGAACAGAGGTCGGAAGCCCCAGCGTGGACCCCAGGTGCCCCAGGACCCAGCACCTGCTCGTCATCTGGCCCATCTCCTGCCACTCGCCCCCCACAAGCCTGAACCCTCCACCAGCCCCTCTGTCTACAGCTCTTCAAACTGAGCTCGTCCCTTCCCGCTGGCCCATGGCCGTCCTCCACCTGCTGTCAGCCAGTCCCTCTCTTCGCGCATCCTCGGGGCTTCAGTTTATCAGTTGCTTCATCGAGGAGCCTGTTAACACCCCGTCTTGGAATGCGGTCTCTTCCCCTACTACCTACTACCTGGCAAGGTGCTTGATGTAAACTAGGCCCTTAAACTGTCTGCTAAGTGAATGGGTCTCTTATTTGCTCAGTTTGCTGTTTCACAGTCTAAACTGTTTGCTGTTCCTAAGACAACACTGGGATTCCGTGGGACTAGCTCTTCTCGCCTCCTCTGCTGCTTTGGCACCTAGTGATCTATGGCAGCAAAACAAACTTCGGGAAACTAGACTCGGAGCCATCTGCAAGCCTGTCTGTCACCCTGCACTTTCTCCTTGCCCCTCCACCATCCCAACGCAAACAGACCATTTCAGTCACCCACCCGCATTATTACCCTCAACCTAACTACTATTTGAGGATGCTTGAGTCCTCTTTCAGAAAGCAAGTCCTCACGGGGTGCTTGTTTCTTTGACAACCTTAATGAAAACTACTCTTCTCCAGAGACGGTTCTTCTGAGATGTTGTTCCTTCCTCTGTTTGCTCTACCCTAGTAGCTGTGTCTACCTCTAAGATCAAATACAGGAAAGGACAGTATCAGTGTCTGTGACCATGACACAGAGCACGGCCTTCAGCAGCATGCTCTGTGAGGTCTGGGACCACTTTGTCAGAATCACCAGGGCTGAGGCCCTGCATCCCAGGACCTGGGAAAGTCTTAGCACTGCTGGGAAAGTTTTAGCATCAACAAATACAGACTAACTGAAATAGAGAAAAGGAGGCTTCCTCACTGAAAATTCAGAGAAAGTTTTAAGTATATCTATCTCTTCACAAAAGTTGGGAAAGATAAAGTTTTAATGTCGCTTGAGTTTACCTAATTTTAAAACTAAAATGTTTTTCAGAAAAGAGTCATATTAGGTCTAATTCATACAGGTTAAACTGGTTGTGAAATGTTTTGATCATTGAATACTTCTCTAAGTCGGTGTTCTTCAGAATAGCCTTTAGAACAAAAATGAATTCAGATGAACCGGCAATAAATCCTGGTCTGTTACAATAGTTCAGAATGTGACATCACAGTTAAGAAGTGAACAGACCAAGGTCCTGACTCTCATTTCTACATCTGTTTGCCAGGTGACTCTTGGCCAAGTCAATCTTTCTGTGCAACTTCCCATCACCTCTCTGGGGTGACTCGGGTGCTAAAGGAAACATACTTCAAATGCCTAGTACATAGCAGGATGCTATAAATGCTACGTGTTGCTATATCTTACTTTTGTTTCCTAAATTATCCTAGCCAAAGGATACTGTAATTACTTTGCAAAATACACGACGTCTTATATTCACAACTGTGAAGAACTAGTATTGCAGAAACCTTACAAAGCAAAAGAAATCTGAAATGTTAGAGGATTTGATGGTAAGACTCATCTGGATCGTGATGTGCTACTTTATAACTTCACCACGTATTTAATTTGGCTTTAAGTTCATGTGTATCGTTTATTAGATTCCACATATAAGTGGCACCATATGATATGTCTTTCTTTGTCTGACTTACTTCACTTAGTATGATAATCCCTACACACTACTACATATAAAAAAGATAACTAACAAGGACCTACTGTATAGCACAGGAAACTCATTACTCTGTAATAACCTACATGGGAAAAGAATCTGAAAAAGAGTGGGTCTATGTATATGTGTAACTGATACATTGCTGTACATATTGTAAATCCGGTGTTCTCCAATAAACATATAAAAATAAAATAAAGATCTAGAAGAAAACGGCAGCCTTACATGATGATCCTCAATGTTCTTCAGGAGTCTGGGGTCATCAAAGTCACATGAGTCACTAGGCGGAGGCGGTATCCGGCTGAAGAGAGAACAGAAGATACTTATTCAGCTCAAAAGTCCCTTCAAGATAACTCACACCTAGTAAGAGTCTGTCCTCAGGAAGAACCACACCTAAAAAGCGTCTAACTTTGTATTAAACTTTTCAAGATTTGAAATACTTGCTATGATTTCAAACCTCAAGGCAGTAAATCTTTAACCCGACTATAAACAAAATACAGATGGTCCCTGAATTACGATGTTTCGACTTAACAATTCTTCAACTTTACAATGGTGCGAAACTGATACGCATTCAGTAGAAACCGTACTTCGAACTTGGAATTCTCATCTTTCCCCAGGCTGGCGACACGTGGGACAACCCTCTCTCGTGATGCCGGGCGACACGCGCAGCCCCAGTCAGCCCCACCATCACGAGGGAGAACGACCCATACACGTACAACCACACTGGACCCAGACAGCCACTCTGCTTTTCATTTGCAGTACAGTATTCCATAAATTACACACGATATTCAATGCCTTACTATGAAATGGGCTGATACTGCCCAACGGTGGGCTAACGTGAAGTGCTCTGAGCGCGCTGTGCGTAGGCTGTCCTAGGCTGTGATGTTTGGTAGGACTGGGGTATTAAATGCACTTTTGAATTCTGATCTTTTCAACTTATGATGGGCTCGTCAGGACATAACTCCATTGTAAATGGAGGAGGATCTGTAGTTACAAGGAGAAGAAAGAGATGCAAGGATGAACACCATGACTTTATCATTTCTGTTGGCCCCTGCATCTACCAGGGAGAACTCCCCAGAGTGCCTGCTCCAAGCATGTAAAACAGGAGGAACTGTGGCAATGTATCTATGCAGCCATTCGTGGCCAGGGCTTGTATGTGAAAGAGAAAAAGGGGGCAAATAATTACAAAAAAGGAAACGTGACGTGATGGCTCCGCGCCGTCACACTGACGAGACGCGAAGGGCTGAGTACGCTCCCTTCTTCGCCCCTTCCTGAAACCCTGTCTTCAGGACAAAGACAAGGGAAGACAAGATGACAGCAGAGCTGATGTCAAGCGGAATGCTGAATAGATATCGGAGTTTAGTGCAGCAGAGAAAACAGAAACCAACAGCTTGCAAGGGGAAGCACCTAAAATGCAAGCTGCTGCCCCCAGCAGGACCCTGGTGAAAACTGAGGACGCGGCAGCACGAGGTACCTGTGAGACAAAGGGAAGGTGGAAGACAGGACAGGCTCCAAGTCCACCTGACCAAGACTGAGTCTGTGAGAAACCTCCCTCATCCCAGGCAGCCAGGCACCTGAACCCTCTGCCCCCAGAACGAAATGAAGGTCTATCCTCCAGAGAGCCTAAACCAGAGGAGCCCTGGACCCAGAAACACTGAGCGCACAGATGGATAGGATACAGCATCCTCCCTAAACCGGAGTTTTAAGTGAAACACTGTAGACGTTGAAAGGTATGATCAACAACCCTCTGTCTCCACTCAGTTCCCATAGCAGCTTCAGCCAGATTTACAGCCCTTGGCAGGAAACTGGAGAGGTCTTCTTGCAAGAAGATGACTGATTGGCTCAAAAGAAAGACACACAGATGCTAACATCAGAGATCCTCTAATAAAACAGTCCTACATACATGGTCCCAGCAATCAGCTTTCTTAGTGTAAAAATCCTAAAACCTTAGCAGACAACACCGCTAGTCTTAAAGGAAATGCAAATCAAAACCACAATTCACAGCCATTGGGATGGCTATCATATACCTAAAAATGACAAACGCGATACCGCTTCACAGCCATGGGGATGGCTACTATATATATGAAAGACAAACAGAAATTAACAAGTGTTATGAGGACGTGGGAAAATTGTGCATTACCAGCAGGAATGTAAAATGGTAGAACTGCTATGAAAAATAGTTTGGTGGTTCCTCAAACAGTTAAACATGGAATTACCACATGAACCAGCAATTCCACTTTCAGGCATAATCCCAAAATATATAAGAGCAGAAACTCAGATACCTGTACATCAATGTTCATAGAAGCATTATTCACAATAGCCAAAAGATGGAAATAACCCAAATGCCCATCAACAGATGAATTAATAAACAAAATGTGGTATATACATATATGGAATATTACTCAGCCTTTAAAATAAATGAAATTCTGATACATGCTACAACATGTATGGTACAACCTTGAAGACGTTATGCTAAGAAGTGGAAAGTGAGTGGATATATCAGACCGATAGCTGGATATTTTTGTTAAAGCCTTGTAGTACCACTGGGCTTTTAAAACCACATTCATGTTTCCATTTTATTCTGGTTCTCTCTTAAAATAACATATGCAACTTTTATTCTCAAAATATTCAAGTGAGAAGTGCCAACATAAAACTGTTCCAAAGCCTTTCCCACTAAAGTGTCAAGAACTGCTAAAATCTACTTACCAGAAATCATCTGATGATGGTTCCCTTGTCAATTCTGGAAAATGACTGACAGAGAGAGAGAAACAGAATGGTTACAAAACTGTGATCAAAAACACAGATATTCACACAAAGAACAAGCTCCAGCATAGATCATACGTTAGGCCCCAAACAAGTCTTAGTAAATTCAAGAAGACCGAAATACCAAGCATCTTTTCCTACCACAAGGGTATGAAACTGGAACTCAATCACCAAAAAATGGAAGACTCACAAATACGTGTAGACTGGACAACATGTGACTCAGCAACCAATGGATCCATGAAGAAATTAAACATATAATCAAAAACTACCTAGAGACACATGAAAATGGAAATACAACAAGCCAAAACTTACAGGATGCAGCAAAAGCAGTTCTGAGAAGTCCATAGCAATAAATGCCTACCTCAAGAAACAAAAAAAAATCTCAAATAAACAACCTAACATTATACCTAAAAGAACTAGAAAAGAACAAATGAAACTCAAAGTTAGAAGGAAGGAAATAAAGATTAAAGCAGAAATAAATGAAATAGAGACACAAAAGTCAATAGAAAAAAAAAAAACTATGAAACTAAAAGCTGGTTCTTCAAAAGATAAAGTTAAGAACACTTGGGACTTCCCTAGTGGCTCAGTGGATAAGAATCCGCCTGCCAATGCAGGGGACACAGGTTCGAGCCCTGGTCCAGGAAGATCCCACATGCTGCGGAGCAACTAAGCCCATGTGCCACAACTGCTGAGCCTGCACTCTAGAGCCCGCAAGGCCTAGAGTCCGAGCTCCACAACAGGAGAAGCCACAGCAATGAGAAGCCTGCGCACTGCAACGAAGAGTAGCCCCCGCTCACCACAACTAGAGAAAGCCCACGTGCAGCAACGAAGACCCAATGCAGCCAAAAATAAATAAATAAATTTATATATAAAAAAGAAAAAGGTAAGAAACCTTTAGCTAGACTCACCAAGAAAAAAAAGAGGACTCAATCAGAAATGAAAGAGAAGACATTACAACTGACATCACAGAAATAATAGGATCATAAGAGACTACTACAAACAATTATATGCCAACAAGTTTGACAGCCTAGAAGAAACAAATTCCTAGCAATATACAATCTACCAAGACTGAATCATGAAGAAACAGAAAACCTGAACATACTGATTACTAGTAAAGGATTGAATCAGTAATCAAAAACCTCCCAACAAAAGTCTGGGACCAGAAGCCTTCACTAGAGAATTCTACCAAACATTCAAAGAAGAATAAATACCATTTTCAACCTCTTCCAAAAAATAGAAGAGGGGGCAACACTTCCAATTCATTTTACAAGGCCAGCATTGCCCCGATACCAGAAAGACCACCACAAGAAAAGAAAACTACAGGTCAATATCCCTGAAGAACATAGACACAAAAATCCTCAGCAAGATATGAGCAAATCAAATTCAACAATACACTGAAAGGATCATCATACACAATGATCAAGTGGGATTTATTCCAGGGATGCAAGATTGATTTCATATCTGCAAATCAGTATGACAACACCACATTAACTAAATGAAGGATAAAATCATATAATCACCTCAACAGATGCAGAAAAATCATCTGATAAAATTCAACATTCATATATGCTAAAAAAAAAAACACTCTCAGCAAAATGGGTACAGAGGGAATGTATCCCAATAAAATAAAGACCATATATGACAAGCCCACAGTTAACATCATACTCAACAGTGAAAAACTGAAAGATTTTCCTCTAAGATCAGGAACAAGACAAAGATGCCCACTCTCGTATTCTTTTTTCAACATAGTATTAGAAGTCCTAGCCAGAGCAATTAGGCAAGAAAAAGAAGTAAAAGGCATCTAAATAGGAAAGAAGAAGTAAAACTGTCACTATTTGCAGATGACATGATATTATATATAGAAAATCCTGAAAGATTCCACCAACAATCTGTTAGAACTAAACAAATTCAGTAAAGTTGCAGGATACAAAATCAATATACAAAAATCTGTTGCATTTCTATATATTAATAAAGAATTAACAGAGAGAACTTCTTTAAAAAAAATCCCATTTACAGGGCTTCCCTGGTGGAGCAGTGGTTAAGGATCTGCTTGCCAATGCAAGGGACACGGGTTTGAACCCTGATCCGGGAAGATCCCACATGCCGCGGAGCAACTAAGCCCGTGTGCCACAACTACTGAGCCTGCGCTCTAGAGCCTGCGGGCCACAACTACTGAAGCCTGTGCGCCTAGAGCCTGTGCTCCTCAACAAGAGAAGCCACCACAATGAGAAGCCCACGCACTGCAACTAAGAGTAGCCACCTCTCCCTGCAAGTAGAGAAAGCCAGCGTGTAGCAACAAAGACCCAATGCAGCCAAAAATAAAAATTAAAAAATAGAAATTTTTTTAAAAGTCCCATTTACAACTGCATCAAAAAAAATAAAATACCTAGGAATAAATTGAACCAAGGAGATTAAAGACCTATACACTGAAAACTGTAATACGTTAAGAAGTTTTAAAAGACACAAGTAAATGGAAAGATATTCCATGCTCATGGATTGTAAGAATTAATAACGTTAAAACGTCCATACTATCCAAAGCAATCTACAGACTCAATGCAATCCGTATCAAAATTCCAGTGGCACTTTTCACAGAAACAGAATAAACAATCCTAAAATTTATCCAGACCCACAAAAGAGGCCGATTTGCCAAAACAATCTTGAGAAATAAGAACATAGCTGGATGCATCACGTGCCCTAATTTAAAACTATATTACAGAGCTATAGTAGTCCAAACAGTATGGTACTGGAATAACAACAGATACATAGATCTATGCAACAGAACAGCGAGCCCAGAAACAAACCCATGCATATATGATCAATTAATTTATGACAGAGGAGCCAAGAATATACATTGGGAAAGGAGAGTCTCTTCAGTAAATGGTGTTGGGAAAACTGGACAACCACATGCAAAAGAATGAAATTGTACTATTATCTTACACCATACACAAAAACTAACTCAGAATGGATTAAAGACTTGAATGTAAGAGCTGAAACCATCAAACTCCTAGAAGAATACATAGGTGATAAGCTCCTTGATATTGGTCTTGGCGATGAGTTTTTGGATCTGACACCAAAAGCGAAGTAAAAATAAAGAAATGGGACCACATCAAACTAAAAAGCTTCTGCACAGCACAGGAAACCATCAACAAAATGAAAAGGCAACCCACCAAACAGGAGAAAATATTTGCTCCCATTATAAATTAGAAATTATAAAGTTGATAAGGGGTTAATATCTAAAATACATAAAGAACTCATACAACTCAATAGCAAAAAAAAAAAATCCAATTTAAAAATGGGCAGAGGTTCTGAATAGACATTTTTCCAAAGAACATATACAGCAGGCCAACAGGTATGTGAAAAGGTGCTCAACATCACTGATCATCAGGAAAATTCAAATCAAAACCTCACATCTGTTAGAATGGCTATTACCAAAAAAAAACAAGAAATAAATGTTGACAAGGATGTGGAGAAAAGAGAACCCTTGTGCACTGTTGGTGGGAATGTAAATTGGTACAGCCACTATGGAAAACAGTATGACGCTTCCTCAAAAATTAAAAATAGAACTTTCATATGACCCACCAATTCTACTTCTGGGTATATATCTGAAGAAAACAAAAACAGTATCTCTAAAAGATAGCTATGCACCCCCATGTCCATTGCAGCATTATTTACAATAGCCAAGACATGGGAACAACCTGAGTGCCCATTGATGAGTGAACGACTAAAGAAAATGGTACATATGCAATGGAATACTATTCAGCCATAAAAAAGAATGAAACCTTGCCATTTTCAACAACATGGATGGACCCTGAGGGCATTATGCTAAGGAAATAAGTCAGACAGAGAAAGACAAATACTGTATGATTTCACTTATATGTAGAATCTAAAAAAAAAAAAAAAAAAAAACAAGCTCACTTATATGTAGAATCTAAAAACAACAACAACCAAGCTCAAAGATAAAGAAAACAGATTGCTAATTGCCAGATGCAGGGATAGGGGGTGGGTGAAATGGGTGAAGGGGGTCAAAAGGTACAAACTTCCAGATATAAAATAAATAAGGCATGAGGATGTAACATACAGCATTGTGACTATAATTAATAATGTTCTATTACAGGGACTTCCCTGGTGGCACAGTGGTTAAGAATCCACCTGCCAACACAGGGGTCATGGGTTCGAGCCCTGGTCCGAGCAGATCCCACATGCTGTGGAGCAACTAAGCCCACGTGCCGCAACTACTGAGCCTGCGCTCTAGAGCCCATGAGCCACAACTACTGAGCCCGTGAGCCACCACTACTGAAGCCCTTTGCCGAGAGCCCGTGCTCTGCAACAAGAGAAGCCACTGCAACGAGAAGCCCATGCACTGCCATGAAGAGTCGCCCCCGCTCGCTGCAACTAGAGAAAGCCTGCGCACAGCAACAAAGACCCAATGCAGCCAAAAATAAATAAATACATACATTTATAATTTTTTTTAAAAAACTGTTTAATTTTTTTTTAAATGCTCTATTGCAAACTTGAAAATTGCCAGGAGGGTAAATCTTAAAAATTCCATCACAAGAAAAAAAGAATTTCTAATTATGTATGCTGACAAGTTAACTAGATTTACTGTGGTGATTGTTTTGCAATATACACAAATATCAAATCATTATGTTGTACACCTAAAACTAATATAACTTTACATGTCTATTATACCTCAATTTAAAAAAAAATGGCGTTCAGATCAAAACATGAGTAAGAAATGTACAATTGGATTAGAAATATAAATTTATAGATTCCTTGAGATTTCTCACTAGGTTAGTATTTGCAGGAATAAATCATGTTTTAACTGGTCTAAATTGGGACCCATTCAGTTTTAAACACCGTCAGCAGTAATTACACATTTACATCCCTTATAAATGTCCTTTCAAAGTATCAGAAAGTCAAGGTATTTGACTAAGCAGCTAAAAATAAACTTATTTTGTTGGAAGAATACAAATAAAATTTTCAGAAAGTGATCAAGACACTCACCCATAGGTTACCCCCGCAATGCTACACTTCTTGAAGTTCATGATATTGCATGTAAGAGTTCCAGTTTTGTCAGAAAACAGGTATTTTACCTAAATCAGAGGAAAGGAAAAAACATACACCAAGAATGTAAGAGATCAACAAATGAAGTCTTTTCTTCTGTGTTTTTCAAAATCTGTATTAGTTTTCAAAGGTAAATTCCCTTAAGCGAGCAAAATATATTTTATAATTATATATATGTTATACGTAATAATTATGTATTATTAAAAACTTAATATACTTTAATGCTTAGGCCACTTAAAAACCATTTCAATAACCAATTCTAGAGTCCAATTGTGTGGAAATGTACAAAGGAGGCTTCAGTAACAGCTCTGGATCCATTTCAGACCCGTAAGAACCAAGTCCTGCCACTAGGCATCTCAATGACACTTATACAGAATTCGTTCTTGTGTCCAATATGTCAAGACAACAAGCTCAGACTTTGGCAACCACGATATATTTCTTTCTCAGAATCCATCCTCTAGTTGGGCTAAGAAGACCTATCCTGAAACAGCACGGAACAAACACGAAGCCTCTCGATCACGATCACAGTGAGGTTACGTGAAGGCAGCTTAGAACTGCTACAGATGATATAACTTTCCAAGGCACGAAGTTTCACACATGTAACACACTAAGCTCTCAACATACAAAGGTGAAAAGAGAAATTCCTGTGGAGGTTAATAAGCAAACCATTTTGACATGATTAACTGACTGCAAAAGAGATGAACCCAAATGCACGTGTGCTGTGTGAGTTTTGTCCTCCCGGGTGGATGCTGTGAGAGGGAGGGGGAGAAAGGACTCAGGACCACAAAGGAAGAGAGTCCAGGTCAGGCTCTGGATACTACCCAGCCATGTGGGCTCGGGAAAAGTCACCTCACCCTACTTGGACTCAATTTCCATGTCTATGAAATAAAAGTTTTGGCCAGAAGATAAGTAACATCATTCTATGTGTAACTTTCTGGGAAATTACATCATGGATTGGTGAGAGGGAGTAATCAACAGAATTGTCTCCAGGAAAGATTCCAGTTTCTCAGGGATTTTCTAAAGAGGGGTCATGATCGCGGCAAGATGTGAGGGAGACTCCAGTGATCCCCAAGAACTGTTCCAGGGAAGCCACATTGCACTGTTTTGTAGAAGAGGGATTAATAACATGAAGTGTGTACTGTACTTTTTCTTACTGATACAATATAAGCAAATACACTGAGAATTATTTTTAAAGCAATTCAAGGCCCTTTAAGTAAAGAAAGATTATTAATGATCCTAAATAAGTCAAACAGTACCTAGAAATATGAAATCAGTACACTATGGGTAATGAAAGCTTTAACTATAAATAATAAGTTTTTATATAAGTTTTATATGCAGTAAGTCTAGGGGTACAAAAAGCTCAGTAGGATCAGCCTTCCAATAAGCAGTATTTCTTTCTGCCTCTTTCTTAAAAAATTTAAAGATGATATCAAAATATTTAAAAATGACATTTTATAATAAGGAATTATTAGCATTTTCTATCCTTGTGTCTATTGAGCACTAAGTTATCCTTTAAGTTCCAACTCAAAACTAACTCCCCCATGAAAACTTTCCCTATTCCCACTTAGGATGAACTATTTCATCCTGGGTGCTTGAGTATGTTGAATCCTTCAATCATCCAGGTCCAGTTCAACGGCAATTGAGAACAAAGTCATACTGAGCACTGTGCTAAAATGACAGAGGAAACCAAAGACCGTGTCTCAGGCACGTCCACACCTTCGAATGGGCTCAAAAGCCCCAGGATGGAAATGGACATATATTACTACCACACCTCTTACTTTACTGTATTTATGTTTGTAAAAATTGTTATGGAAACATGAAGAGAGATAAATTAACTTTCCTGGAAGTCTGGAGAAGGCTTCAAACAGGAGGTAAATTTCATCTGATACATATACCGCACTCACCTCCTGGGGTTGTTGGGAGGTTCACATAAGATTTATAAAATGAAATTATAATCTGTAATTGCAATGCATTCAAAAGAGGTATTCCTCGCAGTGATTTCAACAGAAGATGAAGACATAATGCATCAGTAAAGGCAGCGGGGGTTAAGGGTGATGGTGGGAACGAAACCGGTTCCCTGAAATGTTCCAGAGATAAAACCTGGAACCCGTGAGAGACTGTATGGACTTATGTCCTTCAAATCAGGCCCCACATATTCTGTACGATTACCCAATATCCGAGGATCTTAACCATTATTTTCCCTTTACTTGCCCCTGATTAACAATTTTAAGAGTCCAAAGTAATGTTGCGCTGTATTTTTTGCACTAAATTTGTCGCAGGAACCTTCCAGCTTATAAGATATACCCATGCCTCAAAAAGTAAGTCAAAATCAATTAACATTTGTATTTAATAGTACCTCCAAGTACTACAGAGCTCTTTTAGACATCAAAACCACCTTTATGGAGAATTATTTTTGCAAAATCTCTCCATGGTTCTTCCAACATTTGTCTGCCACCGTGTTCATACACCGTTCCCAAAGTCCCCAAAGAGGCTCTCACCTGCCCAAGCTCTTCATTAAGGTTTGATGTCCTGGCCATGGCAGGAGTGTCATTTCCTAGATAATACATATCTGTGTCCTGAAAGAGAGAAGGGGGGGCACTTCAGAAATTATCTACCATCGATTCCTCATTTAGATTAAGAAGAAACTAAAAACAGATAACTCAATATAAATGTTAGTTTTTCATCTGGGGGTGAAAATACAGTGTCTATTAGTGTAGAGAAACACTGAGATACAGAGGAAAGCGCGGTATTTATTTATATCTAGATGCTTTGGCTTCGAGGTGATCGCCTCCTGGCCTAGACTAACTGACACTTCTGAGTTTAGCGAACGCCTCGTTCACAGGACAGCTGTGAAGCTCAAATAAAAAACGCGCATCAAAGTGTCTGGTCTCCAAATACTGGCTGCTGAGGTCTGGTGCTTAATGGCCATGGCAGTTCCTTGAAAATTCCACCTCGACTCTTGCAGTAGAATCCAAATTTACTGCCACCATGAATTTTGACAGATAGGGGACACATAAGTAGACACACTTAAGAGAACGTTACTTCAGCACTAAGGAGAATTTAAAGCATGGACAGCTGCAGCCACTTCATCCCCCGTCACCAGGAGACAGGCACCTGCTACACATTCTGCTCCATTTCTCCACTGATTCTCCTCAGAGCCCCTGCCCTGCTCATCTCACAGCCCAAGAAGACAAGACATTAGATGACTAGTCACAGATACCACTGGCTCAGGGACACCCTTGCCCATTCTCTAGGCAGTTAAACTCCCAGACTGAATCGTAATTAACAACGTTCTTCCTTTTCTGGGAGCTCAATTCCATCACTGAGGCTCCAAGAGGGTATTAGGAAGTGGCAGCTGACACGTCCCCAGCACCTCAGCTTCCAGGCAGGTGTGATACTCACCCAGTTTATGAAGAGGGCTTGTGTGTACTTCACAACCTCGAGGGTCACCAGTAGACTGATGGGAATCAGGTTGTTGTACAAGATGATGAATGTCAACAAGTTATATCCAAAATTGTCTGAGCTCGTGTCTGTGGAAGAAAACCAGAATATCTGAATAGCTTAGTCTCTGTTCAGTTTCCTTGTACTTTATGATGTTGGAATTTTTCTGAAAGATGTTCACAAAAAGGTTTTGGCTTAAGTATACATTTAGAGATTCAAGTTAAAATAGTTACTGAGCACCTACTCTGTGGCATGAACTGTGGATACAAAGACCGTGATGCCACAATTCCTTCCAACAGAGAGCTGGCTTCCCAGAGGAGGCTGCGGGGTAGCGGGGTGAGCAGAAGCAAGCATCCCCGCAACGTGACCGTGCAGCAGGGCACACGGACTAACAAGGCCTTCACAGGGCACTGAGGAAACTGAGGCACGAGGGTTTTGACGCGGAGGCCCAGTCACTGAAGGCCCCCCAGAAGAACAGAGGCTTCAGACTAGTCCTGGAGGATAGAGAGAGGGCAGCTAACTAAAAAGGATGCAGAAAAAAGGACAGGGGACTTCCCTGGTGTCGCAGGGGTTAAGAATCCGCCTGCCAGGGCTTCCCTGGTGGCGCAGTGGTTGAGAGTCCGCCTGCCGATGCAGGGGACGCGGGTTCGTGCCCCGGTGCGGGAAAATCCCACATGCCGCAGAGCGGCTGGGCCCGTGAGCCATGGCCGCTGAGCCTGCACGTCCGGAGCCTGTGCTCCACAACGGGAGAGGCCACAGCAGTGAGAGGCCCGCGTACCACACACACACAAAAAGAGAATCTGCCTGCCAAAGCAGGGGACATGGGTTCAAGCCCTGGTCTGGGAAGATCCCACATGCCATGGAGCAACTAAGCCTGTGCACCACAACTACTGAGCCTGCACTCTAGAGCCCACGAGCCACAACTACTGAGCCCCCGTATCACAACCATTGAAGCCTGTGTGCCTAGAGCCCAGGCTCTGCAACAAGAGAAGCCACCACAATGAGAAGCCCACGCACCGCCGACAAAGAGTAGCCCCTGCTCGCCGCAACTAGAGAAAAGCCCATGCGCAGCAACGAAGACCCAACACAGCCAAAAATTTAAATTAATTAATTAATTAATTAAAAAAGAAAAGAGGACAGGCACTTGACGTGGTTGTGAGGAATACCTACAACCTCACTAAGGTAGGAGCATACTGGGGACACACCCAAGAATTGGTAAAATTCTCCTGTGTGAACAGGCAAAACAGGTGAAAAAAGGGAGGCAGACGAGAAGCCTGGAGCCTATTTATGGAACATAAGAGAAGGAATGTCTTGATGGAACACGGTCTCTACAGGATAGAATCCAAAGCAGAGGCAGGAGGAGGGACCAGGAGAGGGTAAAGAGGTACAAGGTCTGTGAACATCGAAGGGGAAAGTTCTCTGAACTGAAGTCAAAGCTCTGACACTGATGAAGCAAATGCGAAGTCTGATGGCTTTTACCAGAGCTACTCAGAATTTACCTTAAAATAACAAGGCATGGACTCCCCTGGTGGCACAGTGGTTAAGAATCCACCTGCCAATGCAGGGGACACAGGTTCAATCCCTGGTCTGAGAAGACCCCACATGTCACAGAGCAACTAATCCTGTGCGCCACAACTACTGAGCCCACATGCCACAACTACAGAGCCTGCACACCACAACTACTGAAGCCCATGCACCTAGAGCCCGTGCTCCGCAACAAGAGAAGCCACTGCAATGAGAAGCCCGCGCACAGCAACAAAGACCCAACACAGCCAAAAATAAATAAAATATTTTTTTTAATAAGATAACAAGGCACAAAGCATTATGAATGGGGCCAAAAATAAATTAATTAATTAATTCTTCCACTGTAAATCACACACCCTGTACTGGAGTTTGACATTATCTGAGCAATTTAATTAACAGTTTCCACAAAGCCTGTATACCAGTATAGTGTCAATGCTGTTTATTTACCCAGACCATGATATTTTGGAACTAATGTGTAAACAAATGTATCTGTCTTCACATTTGAAGCTAACATCATACAACACGGTTGAAATCCAGATTTTAAGAACCAAAATCAAGGATTTTGACCCAAGCTACAAATGAGGTCCCAGTCACATTTCCCACATCTGTAAAGCAGCGACAAGGACACTCCTGGGCAGTTCAAAATGTGTGAGTTTTCTACATGACGTAAAAAGAAAAGGGGAAAAAAATGTTTCCATCCGTTTAATTAAAATATATAGAAAGATGGAAATAATAATCATTCCAAGAAAATATCCCAAAGTTTTAAAATTCAAATTTATCATTCAAAAAAATTTTGTCATTAAATTTTATTTTTCTGGAATTGCTGTGTAAGGAGATTGGCAAATCTTCTCTCAAAACAAAAAGCAATAAAACTGGACAAAATTGTCAAAAACAAGCTTGATGAAAACTATTAATGTGCATATCCAAAAACCTCAACAAACTTCAAACAGGATAAACTCAAAACTACTGAAAACCAACGAAGACGTTGAAAGCAGCAATAAAAAAATGACTCACGTACAAGGGAAAACTCAGTAAGAGTAACAGCTGACCTCATCGGTACAGTGGAGGTCAGAAGGAAAGAGGACGGTATATTCAAAGTACTGAAAAGAAAAGAATGTCAACCAAGAATTCCTACAAGAATTCTGTATCAGCAAAACTATCCTTCAAAAACAAAGGAGGGCTTCCTTGGTGGCGCGGTGGTTGGGAGTCCACCTGCCGGTGCGGGGGACGCAGGTTCATGCCCCGGTCCGGGAGGATCCCGTGTGCCACGGAGCGGCTGGGCCCATGGGCCGTGGCCACTGAGCCTGCGCGTCCGGAGCCTGTGCTCCGCAGCGGGGGAGGCCACGGCGGTGAGAGGCCTGAGTACTGCGGGAGAAAAGAAAACAAGAAAAAAAAGACAAAGGAGAAATTAAGACACTCTAAGATAAAAATTGGGATAATTTGTTGCTATCCAGTCTGCCTTACAAGAAATAATAAAGGAAATCCTCCAGGATGACAGGAAGTGGCACCAGACAGTAATTAAATCCACGTAAAGAAGCAGAGGGCAATAAAGTTAATTATATAGGAACTTATAAAAGACCATATAATTACATATTTTCTATACTTTCTTTTAGATTTAAAAAAGTAGGGCTTCCCTGGTGGCACAGTGGTTAAGAATCCGCCTGCCAATGCAGGGGACATGGGTTCGAGTTCTGGTCCAGGAAGATCCCACATGCCGTGGAGCAACTAAACCCATGCGCCACAACTACTGAGCCTGCGCTCTAGAGCCCGCGTGCCACAACTACTGAAGCCCGTGCGCCTAGAGCCCGTGCTCCACAACGAGAAGCCACCGCAATGAGAAGCCCGCGCACCGCAACGAAGAGGAGCCCCCACTTGCCGTAACTAGAGAAAGCCCGCACGTAGCAATGAAGACCCAATGCAGCCAAAAATAATAAATAAAATCTTTAAAAAATCATCTGAATATAAAACGATCCCCAAATGTGTCCACCTTCACTGCATCACGTGACTCATCTTTCGGTGCTTGAAGGGTGGGCATTGTCTACAACAGCCAACGGGCGGAGAAGGAGGGCACGGCCCACACACGTACATCACACTTGGAAGGATGGTCAGCTTCAACAAGGAGTCCGTTCGCCACTTACCCATCTCCTTGATGTACCAGTTCTTTCCTCCTTGAGACCCATTCCAGTACAGGGCTCCCACCGAGCTCACCAAGGCCATGACCAGGAGGATGCCAAAGAGTACCAGGATCTGCACATTAGTTACTTTCTCCACATTCGATCTCTTGAGAGGCGCTTTGGTGGAATTCTGTACGAGAGCATGTAAAGCCAGTAAGGGTCACAGAACACACTTGGGGGCAAAGAGCAGGGAGCAAAGGAGGTAAGTTAACCCAATTCAACAAAGAAAAAGTAGAAGACTATCTTTTTGTCAAATAACCAATGAGATTTAAAAGTGTCCTATGCTCTTGAATCAACAGCTAGTTTTAAATAAAGAAGAACACAGAAGACACACTGTCATTTTAAAAGGGCACATTTCAACTCTGCATGACTCAGTCTGTACTTCTTAATTTTAGCATAAAATTAGCTACTTTCACCACCTTAGAATACAGGTTCCAAATCATTTAAGCCCAGTTTAAAAGAAATCAGGCGGCTGCTAATTCAAGAGAAACCAAGATTCTACATCACAAAAGTCTAGAATCTTCAAAGTAATAACGTAGCTCTATAATTAACACACAGAGAGCTATTTTAAGCCCAGGAGCTCAGAATTTGTGAAAAGACATACACAAACACACACACACATCAATAATGCAAAATAGAACAACAGGTGTCAAAATAAATGGATGGATAAAGAGTCCATTTGGAAAACTATGAACAAGAAACAAGCAAGAAGAGCCGGGGAAGCTCTGGTGGCCAGTGGAAATCTGAACGGGGTCCTAAACCACAAACAGAATGTGGGCAGGAAGTTACGACGAAAGTGGAAAGACAGCCCAGCCATCTGTAAATGCTCATGGCCTGCCTTCTCACTGCCGGTGGGGAGACCAGCCCAGCTAGAGAACAAGCCAGTGTCGGGAGTCAGTCCAGAAAGGTTCATTAAAACCAGATTCAAGGACCACTGCACATCAGGTTTGGAACTATATCCCCTCAGCAGTGGAAAAGTCAATAGAACTGTTGGCCCCGGACAGTTATTCACTTGAAGTCATTTTATTTAAAAAAATCCTGAAGGCAGTTGTGGTGGGCAGAGTAACCGCCCTCCTCAGTGACATCCAGGTCCTAATACCTGGACCAATGAATATGTTACTTTATATGGCAAAGGGGCTTCTCCGGTGTGATTAAATAAATGCCCTTGACTTGGGGAGATTAACTTGAATTATCCAAATGGGCCCGATTTAATCACACAGGTCTTTAAAAGCACAAAAACAAGAGATCCTTTCCCAGTTACGGTCAGAGGGAGATATGAGTACAGACAAATGGCCAAAGAGATCCAGCACTGAGGCCCTGAAGACAGAGGAGGGGTGGTCATAAACCAAGGAACTCCAGGAGCCTCTAGAAGGCAAGGAATGGAGCCTCCCCTAGAACCTCCTAGAATGTTCTAAAAAGGAAGGCTGCCTGGCTGACATCATGATGTGGGTGAGACCCAGAGCAGACTTCCGACCTACAGAACTGTAACCTAAGAGCTTCGTGTTGCTTTAAGCCACTACGTTTGTGTCATTTGTTGTGGTAGCGACAGGAAACTAACACGTAACACAGCAGATGGTAACAACCCCTTCCTGGAGGAGGACAGACCCTGGACTAGATCAGAAGCCAGGAGTGGACGGGGGAGATGGCGGGAGCTTCAGTCCACTGTCTCCGTCCACAAGTCATGAGCCTTGTCCCTTTACAGGCAATACTGATACGCAAGATCAGGTGATCTGAATACTTGCAAGGCACTGACTGGCCATGAAAAATGGTGCCTTGGGCCAGACTTGAGTTAGCACTCTCTCTTCATCTTCCCAACCCACCTGATCCCTAACAGAGCTAGGATGAAAATGTCTCCGAATATAAGGATACAAATAAAGTCACAACATGAAAACAAAACCGAGATGAAAATGAGTGGCAATTCATTCCTACATTCCATCGAGTAGCTCATACCACAAGGTGGCTGAAACTCATCTGAATTCTATCCCCGAACCCAGGACTGCTGCGACCATGACCATGGCTTTCCACGGGGGTGGGGAGTCGGGGGCTTGCAACGCTGGTGATTTTGCAGCCCTGTGAGTATCTAAACAGCACGGCTGCATTTCCTCTGCATATACTCTTTTTCCCACTTCACTTTAAGTCGCTGAATTATCTGTCCTTTAAAGACTTTTAAAAACATTCCTCTAGAATCTAAATGGAAATCCATCAGTAAAGGACAACTTACCAATCAAATATCATCTCAAGGTCGATGGGGTCGACACATCACCTTTGGCCTCATGGCAAGAGCCAGAAGACCAATTTCAAGACCGCCTACCCCAATCTTTTAAAAGCTAATCTTATTTTTAATAAACATTCGCTGGAGGCACAAGCAGAAAAAAATTTACAATAAACGTTATTTCTATGACTCCATGACTTTATTGACTTTTGACCTTTCCCAGTGGTTGAACCCTGGCCAGTTAATAGGATTAAGAAAAGTTATGTTTCATCCAATACAAGAGCAACAACCCAACACTTCAGGCTTCAGCCCATGCACTTAGGAAAGCCGGGCTCTAGCTACTCACCCCCATCCCCTGAGCATTCCACCTTGCAGTGGTGAGCTTGTAATGTCAAATTCCTACTAGCATTAAAAGTTCTTCTCCAAAATCCTTAGAAAATACTACTTTTGAGTATTGGAGTTCGAAATAGAAATAGACCAAAATGTCAGATTTTGAAAAAGCTTAAATCTGGCCTGAACTTTACACGTTTCATTCCCTTCGAAGACAGCAGTCAGCAGAGTACTAGTTAAGACAAGGACTCGGGAGCCAGGCTGCCTAGGTTGGAATCCCAGCTCTCTCTCTTACTGGGTATGTAACTTTGCTAACTTACTGAGAGATGCCTCAGTGCACTCATCTAGAAAACAAAAACAAAAATAGTATCTTCTTCATAGGGCCGCTGTGAGGAATCAGTGAGTTAACACGTGAGAATTTCTTGGAGCAATGCACGGGGCACTGTGTGCTGGAATTACTGTGACAATCTCTCTTTCCCATTAAATCAACCAACAGAAACATCAGACATTGAAATATTTCTACATGTAGCTACACTCAACATGAAACGAGGAACTCTGAAGTAGGAGAGTAGAAGGCACTGAGGTGAGAGTTTAAAAATCAAAAAAAGTAGGGGCTTCCCTGGTGGCGCAGTGGTTGAGAGTCCACCTGCCGATGCAGGGGACACGGGTTCGTGCCCCGGTCCGGGAGGATCCCACATGCCGCGGAGCGGCTGGGCCCGTGAGCCATGGCCGCTGGGCCTGTGCGTCCGGAGCCTGTGCTCCGCAACGGGAGAGGCCACGACAGTGAGAGGCCCGCGTACCACAAAAAAAAAAAAAAAAAGTAGAAGAACCCTAAAGCAATTGTGTTTCCTCTCTGTGGTCAAGTAGCACAAGTAGAGACAACGTATGTTATCTCACCAACAGGATGGCTTCCAGCTATGTGTGTTGTATTATATTCCTTTCAAAAGCTTGTTATTTTTACTCATTGTTCGAGCCCTAAAGGCACAGCGAGTCCAGCACAGGTGTTTCTGGGGCTCTGGATTGTTCTGTACTTGAGCAGTCAACATGTAATAAGCCATTCAAAGAGGTTTATCACATGTAGGTGCAAGGAAGGCACCCAGCACACTCACGGGGATGCAAACATCACGGGGTAACTTAGTGAACACCTTGCTCACTGAAGGGAGGATGGAATTATTTTTAAGTGTCACTTCATTGATCTCTTACACCTCAGCTGCAAAGCTGTTTTACCAACGTACGATCTAGGGAAACAGCAACGTACCCTGAAAAGAAAAAACTCCAGGGTACAAGGAATCTTGGGGAGTGGTTACATTTGTAAAATGTACAACCTGAAAACTAGTCTTGGGGCCCTGCCCGCATCTGAGCGAGCGCCTTGTGATCTGTCACTTCATTGTAAAAACACAAGTGATCTGTGGTGAGCGGGGCTCCCAGTGTTAGGCGGTTGTGGCGGGTGCTGGCCTGGGGGAGTCTGAGGACACTCGCTAGGTGGCAGGGGGCTCGGCTCTTCACCCAGAGAAAGTCTGCGCACACAGCTGCTCAGACCCAAGACACTTTACACATCCTAGTCAGTGCGCGTGCACACGCACACACACACACAGAGAACACACACACAGAACACACAGAAAACACACACACACACAGAACACACACAGAACACACACACAGAGAACATACACACACACACAGAACAAACAGAAAACACACACACAGAACACACACACACACAGATAACACACACACACACACAGAACACACAGAAAACACACACACACAGAACACCCAGAAAACACACATACACACAGACACACACACACAGAACACACACACACACACAGAGAACACACAGACACAGAGAACACACACACGCAGACACACACACACACACACACACACCTTCCTCTATAACCATCCCACCACATGTGCGGCCTCGCAGTCCCCGGGCCCTCCCCTCCTTCCTGCTCCTGCCTCACCCCCCACCCCGAGGACGCCCCTCCCCTGAGGTCCCCCAGCAGGGGCTGCTCCGTGCAGACTCACGTGCTTCAGAAGACAGCACTGCTGAACGGATGCTCGGGGTCCGGTCATACTTCCGACACCTGCTGCCTCTAACGCTGTGTTAAAAACCCCCTTGTAAAATTCCTGCCATCTGGCTACACGCCCTTCTGCCTCTTCTCTCAGCAAGTCCACCGGCTCTCCCCTCCCCCCACTCCCTAAAGACTTGAGCCACCGGTGACAGCATCCATCTCTACCCCGGCCCGGCCACGCCCCATCATCACCAAATGCCGTGGTCCCTCCATCCTCCACCCCGCAACACTGAACGCCTCCAACAGCTGCGCTTCAGCTTCCTGCCCCTGGGTCTCTCCACTCCACAAACCCTCCGCCCCAGGACATCAAAGCCAAGCCCCCTGCACACCGAGGCCTGTCATGCAGCAGCTCCAACAATCTTCTTCCACTCCAGTGAGTCTCTCTGCCCCACCCCCCGCCCGCCCCGTCTGCACTGCGTTACCCAGCTGGTGTGGACACAGGGCTCTATCACTCCGTCGGCTCTAATCAATGGTTAACTCTCTCCTCCTACACCACTTGAGGAGTGAACCAACACAACAGCCTTCCTTCTTCAACATGACATCTGAAGTGTGCTTCTTAGTATCTGGTCAACTGACACCTCCAAACCTGGGCTGGATGACCTTCCATGTGGACCCCCAGCACCCCGTAACGACACACGCATCACACTTTCATCTCTCCACTCTGTAATCCCCACCACTCCCAAGTCTGCCTGGTTCCCAGGGGTGAGACTGTGCCTTTCACTATTGTACCCACACAGCCTGGCACAAGATATGGTGCACGGTGGCCACGAAACACTTTTAAATCAAGAAATATTGCCAGATCTGTGCTTTAGAAGTCACACAAAAGGGCAGACAAGCTGAAAAACCAATCCTCGTTAACAGCGACCATTAGCAAAATAAGATGCCAAGTGATACCGAAGAAATGTAAGAAATGACATGTAGGGGCACTGATTTATGCAGGATTTCAAAGCTGTCTGGCAAAATATGTCATAAAAGAAATGTGAGCTACAAAGTCACAGATAATAATTTTTAAAACTTAACAGGGAGAAAAAACAAAATCATTTTAGTATTTTTTTCTCTTTGGTATATGACATGAAGAATAAACATGAATTCAAAGATAGCTGATTTTCAATTGCCTAGAATTCAGTTAAATAAGACAACTTCCTATAAAATCTTAATTAACGGGGTGTGGAGGAGAAGTAAAGAGAGAAATAAAGAGGTTAGAACAAATCCCCCCTCGTGTTCGAAGATAAAATAGGTGAGGCCTGACTGTCCCATTAAATCCAGCAAACAAAGACTGTTGATATTTCAGGCAAGGGGTAACAAATACTTGATACAGTAACAGAAAGTCAGGAGGAACTACCTAGGAACCAAAATAAAAGCACCTCCTTTCCATATTTAGGTTCACAGAGAAAGCTTAAGGTTCCTAAATGCAAAACCTGCATTTTCTACCCACTACTCCATAAAAAACAGAAAAAACGACTAAAATCAGCATTGTTTTTCAGCAGAGAAATGTTTTACCTGCATGAGTTTGGTGTCGTGTCCAGTATAAACAACTATGCCAAACACCCACTGAGTATTTCTAAGCTGTGTACCTCTTAATAAGATCTGGTCGGGCCCAAGGGCAACAGGGCTAAAAATAAGAAACAACATTTATATTTAATGATACTTTGAAAAAATGAGCATGAATATTCCCCTTAAACATAAACCCACAATACATCAACTGTTTCCTTTAGTCAAATTTGGACTATTTCACTGGGACACAGGGGCCATAAAGGTTACCCCTGGCTTAATCTACCCAAGGTTTATCTCATCCATTCATCAACACAGAAAAAGGTTTTTTTTTTTTTTCTCCTATAAAACGTTAAAAGGAAATTGTGTCTCTTATAACTCTCTTATGAAACTCAGTATCTGAAAAGGAAATTAAGATAACCAGAAGTTTATTCATTTGGGAAAGTCAGTTTCTAGACTCTAAGAAAAAAAAAAAGCTACAATAACAAATCTGTCAAAGCTAACTTAATGATTAAATAAAAGTCTGAGTGATAATTTAGAAATTTAAAGTGGGAGTCTACAAAACAGCCCTGTGTACTACATGAAACCGAGAAGGGTGTCACACTTAGACTTGTCAGAGTTATTCTGGGTTGATTCCCGTGATCGGGTCCTTCCCTTTGGGTCTGTTCAAAACATAAAGGTGGAGACCACTGGTAAGGAGCATGCAGGTTGAAGATAAGCAGGAGAGAGAAACCACGCCCCAATGTAACAACAAAAAAAATGACTCAAATGATAAGTGCCAAGAGGGCAAAGACAACAGAATAGAGACAACAGGGCAGTGAACGTTCTGAAGGAAGGGTAACTGGTCCTTCCATTCAACTTGCTAAAAACACAGACTACTTAGAAGAAAGCAAAGGGAAAGAAGATGTTTCTCTAATAAATGTCAGCTCTTACACGCTTCAGACATCTCTCTTCTGCTTTTCTGGACAATTTTACGCAGCCAAAATCAACTACCCTCCTCCCTGGCGTGTAATACACACAGAAAGACCAGGCCAGTTCTGTGAAGCTCACTTCAGACCCTCGGGATATTTTCTTGCCAAAAATCAGGTCTCTCCTTAAATTTAAGGGAAGGTTTAAATGGATTAAAACGGTGTTTCAAGAAAAGCTCAGTCTCCCATATCTAAGCTAAACACGAAGAAATCTGTTTTAAAAATATTATGAAAGCAGAAAACAGATTGATATTTGCCAAAGCTCCTGTAATTCTTAGTCACATTAAAAATAAATTAAAAGAAAATCCACTAAGACAAGAGGAAGCGATACCTTTCCCCATCCAAGTTCAAGTTTCCGGTGAAATCGTAGAGGTGGCGATTGGGCCCTTCACACTCTATGCTCCCAGACAACTTCATCAGCACCTCCCTCACCTGCATGTCAGCCGTGTGACTCACACCCTGAAACGTTCAACCCAAAGAGGAGACTGAACACAGTCTTCCAGGTTTACGAATGACACTCAGCATATCCCTACTGTTAATCAAAAGGAAATAATGAATCAACTAAAATGGAATAGTTGGGTGGGGTCCTCAAGCTACCAGCCCTTCAGGATGGCCTTCACAGGCATCTTCGGTCACAGCAACCTAATACAAAAGGTTTGGAAGAATTCAATATATAACAACAGTTTTGTTTCAATTAATAACTCATTTTGACACAAATTTTCTGCTGTACCAAGTTGCATCTGACGATTCTGTCCACATATCTTTCTTTTCTATCTTAGATATTTGACTTAGACTTTTTTTTCTCTTTAAAGAAGAGTTACAGGGTGCTAGATATCACACTATGTTAAAGGGGTACTTTATTCTGTGTTTACGGCCACGTTAGGGTACAGCTAATGGAGTGTGCTTTCTGTAAAGGGTTTGGGTATGTTGATTATGACTTTAGCATGGATGTGTCAGCACAGTGGTGGTCCTGACTCTGTGCTTCATTGAATTCTTTCCTCCAGAAAAAGCACTGACTGGTACGTGAGGGGAGCACCGTCGCCATTTGGGCCCCATAACAATGCAAGTCATAAAAGGTGACGTTTTACCTGACGTATTTTAAGGTTCGTCTCCCCATCGAGATTGGCTGTTTCAACATAACACATTGCCTGAGGTTCACTAAGGAGAGAAAAAAAAAAAAAGTTGAGTAAGGTCCCCTCCACCAATTCACAGCTCAGAAAGCCTCAACCATGGAAACTCCGCTGACCACCACGGGAATAGTGACTGATGAGACAGACAGGACAGACGGACAGGTGTGTGGAGAGCACAGCGCCAAGACGAGCTGTCTCTCCAATGATCTACCCGCACAGGCCCCACAAAACGGCCGCCCGACTCCAAGTGGACAGAAATAACAGAGGATGCATGGGAAGGGGACAGGCCTGTGACGGGAAACAAGAGGTCCCAGCTAAGACCGCCCAGTGGGCTCAGGTGACCCTGAAAGTCAGAGGCTGGCCTGCCCTTGACCAAAACAGCCGCCCAGACCAGGCCAGGCCAGCACACATACCTTCTGAAGGAGATTACGGCCAGAGGAACTGAGAAATCAAGGCATAGGCTTGGCAGGGTTTTTCTTCCCTGCAGTTTTTACTATGTCAACAGGTAACCTTTTAATCAAAACACCTGATTTTAAGGACAGAAAACTCAAAGAATAGATACAGAGTATAGCACCTGCCATGCTTAAACATAAGCATGGCAGATACTATACTCCTACTTGGATGTTCAGGTCCAGGGAGCATCGATGGGTTTAACAGATTCTATGACCACCAGCTACTTACAATCTCCTGGCACTGCCCTTCCTGGCCGTGTGGCCTCAGCGAGTTCAACGATCTCTCTGTAGCCCTTGTTTTTTCATGTACCAAGTAAGGCTGTCAAGGGCTGTTGGGAAGATTAAATGGGGTCATGTGCTCAAAGGGCCACTTGGGACAAACACCAGGGAACCTGGAAAATGTGATGTCAGCTCAGGCAATCCTTATTCAAAGCTGGCTTTCTGAGGGTCACACCCAAAACTCATATCCCAAACTATCTCAAGTGATCAACATTTTACTATTTCTGAGAGCTTCTCTGTTACTAATCAATAGGGACAAACATGAATCCTGCCCCATGTATATGGGGCCTTTCCCCCTCTACAGGCCTGGGGTCCTTTTATTAAACCTTTTACCTCAAGCAGAAAATTTGTGCTAAGCCTTAAAATCTGACAAAATAAGTGATTCAATCCCATAAAAGAGAGTCTGTCTGCACTCAAACACATGCGGTGGGAGATCTGATGCCCAGCAGCACGTCAGCACAGGGAGGTTTAGTCTTGGCATCATCTAATTTAATCTTGCACTCAAACAGAAGTTTATTCTTATCCTGATTCTGGCTTTCCTTCTTTGATATATACTTTTACGTATCATCCAAGGAAAAGTCAAGGACTGTGTTGTTTATCGTTTACACCATTTGGTGCTGACACCTCTGTAGCACAAAATTACCTAAAAAACACGGCAATGGTGCTTAGAGAGAAAGGGGGCAAAATACGGACCATCTACAAGTCATGTGCACACTGAGAAGTGCCCGTGGGTCTCTGAACTGCCGTAAGGGGAGGCATTCGATTCTGCGGAGAAGGCTGCTGGCTGGACCCACCAGAGCCGCTCCTGAAGTTTCAGACATGCTGTGACCTGGATGCTACCAAACAAATCACTCCACTGCTCTGGAATGTATCCCCACAAACGAGGAATAGCCCAGAACAGCCATGAGATGAAAGTGAATCAATAAATATAAAAAGACTTCAGAAAAAAAGTACAAAGAAATGAATGGAAGAAAGAAAACTCAGGGTTAAGGCAAAAAAATGCAAAGAAGTAAAGGAAGAAAAAGCGGGGGAGAGGGTGGTGACCCAGGGGGTGCAGAAAAGGTAGCTGGAGGCTTCTGCAGGCACTAGGTAACAATCCATTGTTTTCAACACCGATTTCAAAACCATGCCACAAGCCACCTGACCTGGAGGACAGCAGGACCACATCTGCGGGAAGACACTGCCCGTTGACGACCTTCACGATGTCTCCCACGGCTACCTAGAACACAAGAACAAGGACCAAGAAACATGAGAGACAGGAAAGCGCAAATGGTGATAAAAGTGGTTAAACATCAGGAGAAAAAAATTACTGTATAAGTGTGCCGTGAAGTTTAAGGCAGAGAAGCTCAAATTCTTTTCCTCGACAAGAATAAAAGGAACATTTCAATACAGACAAAAGGCAATACTGCCTTTCTGCAATGATGCCGAACGAAGAAGAAAAAAAAGGAGAAGAAAAAAGATGAGTCAAAACAACCATCAGGTTTCACTTTCTCACTGGCTTACAGATACATGCACATCTATCCCCACAGCTGTGGGCAGCAGGGTAAGCGGTTAAGTGCACAGCTCGAGAGCCTGCCTGGACGCCTGGGTCAAATCCCCCGTGGGACCCGTTCCTAGTGCACATAAACCTTGAGCAACTCATGCAAACTCTGGTGCCTCACTTTTCCCATCTGTCCAACGAGGTCATCAGCACATATTTCATGGGGTTATTGTGGGGATCGACTGAGTTAACACAGGCAAATTTTTTCTGTTTCACATCTGGGGAAACTGAGATACAAAGTGAAATACGGGGTCATGGTCACAAAACCAGTGAGTGTTAGAGCCAGGACTCAAAACCAAGCCATCGGGCTGGAAGCCCAGTGGTCTGATTAAAAGGTAATACTAAATTCATGCAGGAACAATGCATCTCAAAGGTCCCCTGGAAATACTCCACGTGAAACAGATCCGTGTGGCCTCAAGAAATTGCCAGAAAAGAATCACAGAAGCCCCCAAGCCACGGAGCCTTCCCAGGACAAACCTCTCCCCCACATCCTCTGCTTTAGCTCCTGGCTGAAGTACCTAGATAACAGCATGTGATGCACACTTCCTGGGTCGTTTTACAGATGTTAAAACCCCCACCAAATAGGAGAAATTAACTACTTGATGACCATGAGCACATAGCCCCCAGACCTGCTGGCACCTAAGAACGATAATGTTAAACCTGTGCACCACCCTGTTACTACCATCAACCAATCACAGAACTGTACACAAGCTGATCACCTACCCTGGGATGCCCCTCCCTCACCTGGCCTTTAAAGATGCTTTGCTGAAACCCTTTGGGGAGTTCGGGTGTTTTGAGAACTAGCCACCTGGACTCCTTGCTTGGCACCTGCAATAAAGACTGCACTTACCAGCACTGCTTATTGTAGAGGCTGTCCTTCCTCCATTGTATGTTCTTGCCTCCTTTGTCGTAAATTAGGTGCCATAAATTAGGTGTCATAAATATGTGTGTGGGTTTATCTCTGGGCATTCTATCCAGTACCATTGATCTATATTTCTGTTTTTGTGCCAGTACCATACTGTCTTGATTACTGTAGCTTTGTGGTATAGTTTGAAGTTGGGGAGCCTGATTCCTCCAACTCCATTTTTCTTTCTCAAGATTGCTTTGGCTCTTCGGGGTCTTTTGTGTTTCTACACAAATTGTAAAATGTTTTGTTCTAATTCTGTGAAGAATGCCAATGGAATATTACTCAGTCATAAGAAGGAACGAAAATGAGTTATTTGTAGTGAGGTGGATGGACCTAGAGTCTGTCATACAGAGAGAAGTCAGAAAGAGAAAAACAAATACTGTATGCTAACACACATATATGGAATCTAAAAAAAAAAATAATAGTATTGATGAACCTAGTTGCAGGGCAGGAATAAAGATGTAGACGTAGAGAACAGACTTGAGGACATGGAGTGGGAGGGGGAAGCTGGGGCGAAGTGAGAGTAGCATCGACATATATACACTACCGAATGTAAAATAGATAGCTAGTGGGAAGCAGCCACATAGCACAGGGAGATCAGCTCGGTGCTTTGCGATGACCTAGAGGGGTAGGATAGGGAGGGTGGAAGGGAGGCTCAAGAGGGAGGGGATATGGGGACATATGTATGCATATGGCTGATTCGCTTTGTTGTACAACAGAAACTAACACAGTATTGTGAAGCAATTACACTCCAATAAAGATTTAAAAATAATAATAAAATAAAGCACATGCATATACCTATTCAGAAATCTAAAAAAGAAAAAGACTGCACTTCCCTTCACCACGTCCCTGTGTCAGCAGATTGGCTTTACTGCAGGCGGGCAAGCGGACTTACGTTTGGTTCAGTAACAAAAGGGCACTATGTTTTCTGTTTCCTATTCTAATCCATGTTACTCATCTCTTTGAAATCAAGAATTGTAAAAACAAAAACAACAAAAAAAACCCACTGCATCTTACAATCCAGGAAAACGGCCTGACAGGTGACTGTGTTTAATATTTTATCAGGACAAAGGAATGTTGCTAAAAGTCATCCTATTAGTGCCTTGATTTGCTTATCAAAGTGTGTGGGTAAGTCTAAGGAATCGGGCTCAGCATCAAGAAGGGTGGTAAAAATTAAATTTCAGAGCCTCTGTACATCTGAAGTTCGTATCCAGCTTAAAGGCAAAAGAAAGGCAGGGGCCATGCTTAATTCTTATCTGCATCCCCAACGTCTAACACTGCCTCTGGCACATACTAAGAGCTCCATTTAAAACAACAAAATCCTTTTTTAATTGAAATAAAAATGCAGGTGGCAAAACGTAACAGGTATTTGGTTGATGGGTTGGTTTTTTTCTCTCCAAATGTGTGTAGGAAACAGTAATGAGCTTTAGGGATCTGAAGCCATCCACTCCTAGATCCAGAATTCTGAGATCATCACTCCATTTTCTACTGTTTCAAGGAGTGTCAACAGCCCAAATTCAAATAATCCTCCACTCCTGCCAGTATGAGCGCCTTCCTGGGGAGGGGAGGGGCAACAGGAACATCAGGGAGAGAGGCCACTCCTAAGTGCCGTGGGAGTTCTCAAGTTCCCATGGCACGCTAGGAGCATTGCTACCATCTGTGAAGGCAAGAATCTCCAAGCACCTGACCGAGAACCACACACTTCCCAATGAGAGTGAGGTCAATTAATATTTACAACACAGGGCTTCCGGATGGCTACCCAGGTTAAGGTGTTATCACAAAACACTACCAAGGGGCTTAATGGATCTCCTGTAACAAAGTAAAAAGAAAATGACAGCCAAAAGGAAGGCTGCGGTTACCACACCACGGGCATCCTGCAGACTCGCAAGGTCATAGAGGCGTTTTAAAACAATTTATTAAATGTTTAGCAAGAGATACTATTATTGTTACTCTTCTAAAATGTAGTTTTCTTCTGAAATCATGTTAATCAGCTTTGAGCCTTGGAGTCATGAGAGTCACCCCCTAAAAACATCTTATGACCATTAAGTTCCAGCCACAACAGAGGCTCACTGAAAAAGCTAATTTTAGTAGCCAGAGAACACCCAGATGGCACGGGATATTTCTTCTCAATCTTCTATTTATCACTAGTAACAACCAAATCACCACGCCGTTCTCAAACCCCGCCGACCTCGTAACTCCAGCGAGGCAAACGCTCCTTGCTCTTGTAAAGCTAAAAGCAGCAACTTTCAGCCTCAAAACCCACCTAAGATGGTTCCCAGCCCCCAGTCTACCACTTCTTATATTCAGGACTAATTACAAACCCAAACTCTTTCCACCAAAAATGTCAGAAGGGAGAATTTCAAAAGTTAAAAAAAAAAAATCTTTAAAAGAGTGCATTGAGATAAAGAGAACAACAGAAGACCAGGGGAAAACGTTTCTTTACTTGGATTCAGAAACTAGAAAGTGATTTGAAATTTCAGAAATATCCATCAGGGGCAATGAATTTCCCAGCTCTGAACTGACACAGGGAATGGCTTCTAGAAGATGCAGCAACAGAGGAAACATGCACCCGTTCTAGGAAAGCCTCAGGGAAAAACCACACTGCACCACTTACATGACATGGACATGGCTTGTGTCTTAACACAAACTTTACACCAAAGTCAACACTAGCAATGAATTACAGGTCTCGAAACCAGTACTTTCTGGCATATCTTTAAAATTTGTTATTACCTCTTTCCACATAATGGTATGCCACATACCATTCCTTAACACTGAAAAAGAAAAACAAAACAAGTATCGGTTAATACTGATGATAATCAACATAAAATCAGCTTTCCAAAATCCAAAAGGCTCCTTTTAAAATTCCACTAATTCCAACATACCATATCTTTAGACATAAACATATAACATCATCACTGCCCAAAACAGAGCCCCAACTAGGTACTTATGTACCATATATAGAAGAATGCATACACATAAATATTCATGTTTGCAAATAAATCTATTCATATTTAGCCCATATGAAGAAAATAATCACCTTGCATTTACAAGATTCACCAAAACACACACACTCGCATAAACACACCGCCCCCCCGCCCCCGCATTAACACAGAGCTACCGTTCCAGAAATGCAACAATAAGTAGATAGGGGGCAACAATAAGTAGGTAGGGGGCAATTATAAACCAAGGCTATGAATGCTTTGACTTTCACGGACATAAAATATGTCTAGCTCCTGAAAATTAAAACCTTTTCTAAAACTCTAAAATACACAAATCCTGTTCAGATTTTAATTACCAGGACTCATCTTTTGTTGGATTTGTTTGTCATTTTGCTATTTTTAAAGTATCTTATAGATTTCCCTCAATTATTTATTTATTTACTTTTGGCTGCATTTGGTCTTCGTTGCCGCGCGCGGGCTTTCTCTAGTTGCGGCAAGCGGGGGCTACTCTTTGTTGAGGTGCGCGGGCTTCTCATTGTGGTGGCTTCTCCTGTTGCAGAGCACAGGTTCTACGCATGCAGGCTTCAGTAGTTGTGGCACGTGGGCTCTAGAGCACAGGCTCAGTAGTTGTGGCGCACGGGCTTAGTTGCTCTGTGGCATGTGGGATCTTCCCAGACCAGGGCTCGAACCCGTGGTCCCCTGCATTGGCGGGTGCATTCTTAAGCACTGCGCCACCAGGGAAGTCCCAGATTTCCCTCAATTTATCTCAATACCATTAACTACTTATTTAAAATTCCTTAACTGCAAGTCTTGTTCTTCAGTTTTCTAGTGGAAAAAATGAGTCAGCCTGGGGTCTTACCTATCGTTTTCTTTTTGTTAACTGCATTGTCTGCCTTATGTCGCTTCTGTTACAGAAAGAAAAAAAAGGTGTTAGTTTCAAAAGTTCCTGATGAATAACTGAAACAGCGAACAATAAGATCCAGCAGAAACAAGACAAGGAGATCAACGGGCAGCTACACTAACGTCCTAAAATTCAGTTCAATGGTCGTGATCCAGCACCACTCGCTAAATTCAGAGACTAGCACCGTACATGTAGATGCGGTTTAAATGCTTATATTTTGGTTACAGCAAGGAAAAAACACTTTGAAGCATAAAACTTTCTACTCCTTGATTGTTTTAGATCGAACTAAAAGAATTATTCTATAAGATAAACTAACAACAAACAACTGAACTCATTCTATTGATAAAGAACTTTGGGGGCAATGTACCTTTGCTTTGATTTGTACTGCATTTATTCATTTACCTATTCCCAGAAAAATGTGCATGCATGTATGAGAGAGAGGGGGAGACAGACAGAAAGGAAGGGGAGAAGGAAGAGCCTGAAAAGAGGAGAGAAAACAAGAAAGAGCATGAATATGGCTGTAGTCAATGAATTTGGAGATGCACTGAAGTATAAGGAGGGAGGAGATTCTTGTAAAGTAACCTCAGTGCTGCTACACTAGACAGCAATTCAGTCTTTTATGGACATAAAATATGCTTTTATATTTGCTACCCAGACTAGCACGCTATCAAGGAGGATGTAAGGAACATCGGCAATAAAAATCAAAGCGGGTCCATAAACCTAACATCAGGAAATACAGACTGAACTACTTCTGTTTCACTGTATAGTTCAGACACTGTGTGTACACATTCTGTCCCCAAAAATACCATCACGAAACTTGAGAGCCTAGTTAGCCTATAGACCAACCTCTCTGTCTTAAAATATTCAAAGCAGCAAATAAGTTATAAGTTACATTCAATAAATGTTTTTATTATCTGAAAGCAAAAACTTACAAAATCTTCTACAATCTCTTTGATGCCTGCGATTGTTAAAATAATGATCAACGGCACCAGGGTGGTATATCTTCCTGTTGGAGAAACATCTGGAATTTGCTGTAAGATAGAGAGACCAAAAGCGGGAAGTTGGCAAATTAAAATCCTCTCCAAGAAAAAGAAAATATGGCACACAGTCCTCGCTCCTCTGCAGTTCTGTTGCATTCATTTCTGTTACAAAGTGATTACCTTATTTTAAGAACTAGCTAAGTCCATTACATATTTTTAAAATTCTACCCAACGTCGTTTTGTGCTTGGATCAGAAAAGAGGGTTAGAAGTCAGATCCCACAGTCTTCTTTCAGTGCCTCTTTTCGTAACTGCAATTATCCTTACGCAAAGAAGGATATACCTAAAGAAGTCTCCCTTTATGCAAAGATCCCATTTGTTCAAGCAAACAGTAATTGGATGAAGGAGGCACATTTCATTCAAGTCTGATGACGCTTTCTCGGTTAAGTGACCTTTTTAGCAAGATCTTATTTTGCATACAATTAAGGTTATGAATTTTAAGTAACTTTTAAAAAAATGTCACCTGTAATAAGGCAATGAAGAGGAAGAAGGCATTGGCAGCTCTCCTGATCTGCTCATACAAGAATCGAGGTAGAAACGTCAACACGCTGTACTTGGCCGTACTGTGAGGACAAAGGAAAACGCTGCTATCAGTTATGGATGTAAATTCTAAAAATCAGGAAAACAAAGTTTCCAAAATTACACAAGTGATTGTAAAAACAAAATATTTCAAAACTCAGGACAAGAACACTGCTGGCCCTCTCCGTCTTGTAAAAAGACACCTTTCCTACGAAAATCTTCCAATGTGATCTTTGTTTTCAAACTTTGATACATACGTGTTCATTTAGTGTCACACGGTGTAACCAGGGAAATGTACCCACCTTCTAGGAGCCTTGTGCTATGAACACACTAAGCGTATAAACGATGTTTGTAAAGATAAAGATACGTATCAAAGATCACAAAACAGAAAGAGGCACGTGTTCCCAAAGCAGTAATATATGAACACAGAGAGAGGTGAAGCATCTACCTAGTAACTCACACAAACCAAGGTAGAATTGTTACCCCAGGATTGCTGAGTCACTACAGTTCTTATCACAAAGCCGCTGATTTAACGTAGAACGTCCACTCTATCAAGCATGCCCTGGTAACGGGCGTGTGGTTGACAGTTCAATGTGTCCCTCTGGACACTCAACACAGACATTTTATGCTCAACCACACCTGAATGAACCCCCCTTCCACACATCCTTCATTCAGCCACCTTCACTCACACTCCACTTCCACGTGAGACATCCTCTCCTTCCACGCCGTGTCTCCAGGACTCATCTTGCCCTCCCATGAAGTTTGGTCCAATTCGCAAAGGCTCTTCTTCCTCCAAGTCACAGGGTGGTGTTTACACCTCCATAATATAGTCTCTGCTTTGCTTTGTATTATACTTATGTACCCCCAGAATAGATTCTGGGAACAGTACGAATGTTTACTTTGTTAAAAAAAACAAATAACAGACCCAAAATGGAGTCACTTGTGCTCAGCCCACATCATCAAACTGAGACTCAATGCCTGACCTAATTGCAGCTTCAGCCTGTTCCAGGAATCTAATCTTAACCAGTCAGTCTGGAATCACCTGGTCAGCACTAGGGAGGTTATCAACCTGATACACCCCAAAGGAATGTGACTTTGCCCCAAACAATTGACTCTTAGCTAGTAACTTCCTTGTCCCACTGTTTTTTACCTATAAAAGTCTTCCACTTTGTACAACTCCTCAGAGCTACTCTATCTGCTCGATGGGATACTGCTGAACTCATAAATCACTGAATAAAGCCAGTAAGATCTTTAAAATTGACTCAGCTGATTTTTTTTTTAAAACTACTTCAACTTTGTATGTTCCTAGCACATAGCAGATAATCAACGAACAGTGAAATAATGGAAAGGCATAAGCTGGGGACCTGAGGGATAAAACAAACCATACCTCCTTTAGCTGCTCAAAGGCTCATCCATAAAAATACCTGCCAAGTCTTAGCTCACCTTCTGAAGCCACCTCTTACCTGAAGTACAGTCTGGAGAGATTTTCTGGGTTTAAAATACACATTAATTAGAAGCACCAAAGAGAAGAGCCAAGCGCTCAGAAGACAGAGCAACTGAGGCGCATGTACTTCTATAACACCTGACGGTGACCAAACCTGGAATGACCGAATGAAATGCCAAAACTGACGACTCGGGCTTCCCTCGTGGCGCAGTGGTTAAGAATCCACCTGCCAATGCAGGGGACACGGGTTCGAACCCTGGTCCGGGAAGATCCCACATGCCGCGGAGCAACTAAGCCCGTGCGCCATAACTACTGAGCCTGCACTCTAGAGCCCGTGGGCCACAATTACTGAGCCCGCGAGCCACAGCTACTGAAGCCCACGTGCCTAGAGCCCATGCTCCGCAACAACAGAAGCCACGGCAATGAGAAGGCCGTGCACCGCAACGAAGAGTAGCCCCCTGCTCGCCGCAACTAGAGAAAACCGCACACAGCAACGAAGAGCCAAAGCAGCCTAAATAAATTAAATAAATTTATTTTTTAAGAAACTGACAACTCAAAACACACAGCAGCCTGAGGCCATATGATGGGGGGGGTGGGGAAGGAATGGGATGGGATGGGATAGCTCCATGTACCATTTGTGGCCACTGCTGCAGGGAAGATCTGGTGTCACAGCCTGGTGTTTTGCAATACACAATGATTAAGAGTCATCCTTAAGACACAATTATTTCTAGCCTTCTTCTGAAGGCGCTGTGATACTGTGATTTATCACAAGAAACATATATTTGGTCTTCATCCCAGTTACTGGCACAGAGCTCCTAAAACCTTTGGGATTTCTGTTGTGTTGAGAGCGATAAAGGTATCTTTTGTTATGCCAATGAGGTGACTCATGGAAAGTCCCTAGGTAACCTAAGGATGGGGGCTGGATGCCAGGGGAACCAACCACATGACTGGAGGCTTGAAACTTTCAGTCCCACCCCCTCCTAAGAGAAAACAGGGGCTGGAGATTTCAAGCACCGACAGCCAATGATTCTATCAGTCACGTGTCTGCAATGAAGCCTCCATAAAAAACCAAAAGGACAGGTTTGGAGAACTGAAGACCCAAGGGAAGATCTGATGTTGCCATTTAAGTCTATAGACCATCTGCTGGCAGAATTCCTTCTTCCTCAGGGAGGTCAGTCTCTGTTCATTCAGGCCTTCACCTGATGGATGAGGCCCACCCACATTATGGTGGGCAGTGTGCTTTACTCAAATCCCACCAATTTATCGATAAATGTTAATCTCATCCAAAAGGTACCTTAAGAGAAACACCTAGAGTAACGTTTGACCAAATGTCCAGGCGCCCTGGCCCAGCCAAACTGACACATAAGATTAACCATTGCATGCATATCCCGATTCAGTGGGTCTGGAATGGGCCTGAGATTCTGCATTTCTAATGAGTTCCCAGGTGCTGGTCTGAGAACCACACGGAGTGGCAGCTACCCCTGAGGAGGCAGATGTGTTCAGGTCACCCATTTGAGTTCAACCCAGCTGAACAGGATAAAATGTAACTGGATGGGAGGCATTTACCATCACTTCCCCGGGGGAAAGAAAATTTACAGGATGAAAGGGGTGAATGAAGAGCTTCCCAGCAGAAGAGTTTGTTCACCAGCTGAATTCGTTACCTCAGAAGATTCCCCCTCAAACTGCATGTGTCAGCCTCCCTGATGGCCTGGCCAGGCATTGGCTGCAAGCAAATCTCAGGCATTTAGTGAGTCTGTAGGGCCTGGGGCACGGGGAGAAATGACCAGGAGAAAACAGAACTGTTTCCCGTGGTTCACCCAGCTTCCCTCTAAATATGTTAGATCAGTGTTTCCCGAAATCGGGTGACATGAAGAATGACCAGGGGCTTGTCAAAAATCCATCCATCCATCCTTCCACAGGTATTTACTGAGCCTTATCTATGTACCAGGCACCGTGCCCAGCACTGCGGGGAATCAAAGGGTCACAAAAGCATTATCGCAAGGGAATTACATTCTAGAGACAAAATGACACTTTAAAACCAAATAAAATATGCGGCAGGATAGATAGTGAAGAATACCGTGGAGGAAAACAGACCAGGGATGGAGGACACAGAAGGAGACACTGTGGGGTGAGGGGGGCGGGAGCAGGGGAAGAAGTTATTTTCGACAGTGATCAGGGAATGTGTCACTTAGAAGGTGACCTGTGAGCAAAGGCCTAAGGGAGGTGACGAAGCAGGAACCAGCCACGTGGATGCACAGAAAAGAAATCTGCAGAGAAAGGGAACAGCGCGCACAAAAACGCTGAGAGGGAGGGCAGCCGCCGTCCTCCTGCTGCAGGGGCAGGGAGGGGACCGGGGGGCGGGGCGATGGGGCTGACTCAGGCCCTGCAGCTCATGTCCCCACTGGCCTGTCTTCAGGAGACAGGAAGTCTCTGCAGGATTCCGAGGATAAGACAAGGTCTGACGACAAGGCCAACCTGCAAACCTCTCTCCGGGCCCCTGACCCAGCAGGGAAGGAACCTGGCTACGTGTGTGGTGGGCACGTTCCTCGTGGAAACTCTTAGGAGCTGGCTAGTATGGGAAACGAGCATCAGAAAATAGGGCCTGGAGACACGTGGGTCAGGGGCTCCCTCCTGTCACAACAAAAGCACTTCCAGAATCTGACCTCCAGAGAGCAGCTCCGGAACCAACCCCGGGGTGATGTCTGAGTGCAATTTTCCAGCCGGGAGAAAAAATCCAAGTTGACGGCTGTTCTCCAAAGGCAAATCTAACAATGCAGTAGCTGCTCAGAGACTAACTTCTCTGGATCACAAGCCTCCGGAAACCCAGGAACCAAACTAGCTTAACACTCTCCTTCCAGATGTGAACAGTAACCCACACTGGGGTGTTTTCCTTCTCTGGCCTCACATGGACAAATACATTTCTCGTACATGCCCAAGGTAGCCTAAGCATTCAGTGTTTACTGGAAGACCGGGGGGCCCCTTTAAACCCCTTCGCAGAAGCTGACTCTGTGAGCTGACCAGTGGCTCCATGACCCTGTTCTGGGAACCCTCCCTCTCCCAGCTCCCTGCAGGAGACCTTCCACCTTTCTGCTCTCACATGTTCACTCAGCAAGGAGTTCCGGATTACTGAAGGTAAAAGACACGGCCTAAGGCGGCCATTTATGTCCTCATAAACAGCTTAATTCATTTATCTCTTAAGAGTACATTACACAACAACCCCTAAGAAAGAGCCATGAGACCAGTATATACAAAGCCCCCAGGGAACCCCCTGCCACTCCCGTTGACAACGGGCCTCACCGCACACCTGGGACTCGCCCAGGAGGACGTGCCGACAGGCAGCCCGCCAAGGACAGGTCCTCTCCCCTGCCGTGGACTCCTGACGCATTGTCAGTCGCCCCTCCCAAATTATATTCTGGAAACCTTGAACGCAAAAATCCCTGATCACCAGGGCCCGCCCATGTCAAGATAGGCCCGCCTCACTAGAAGGTTTTACTTCATTTTACTGAGCTACTGAAATTTCACCAGTTACAAAGAACAGACTAATAAGCTCATTTCCAAACGTGGACGTGTTTATTTTCAACACTTTTCCAGTTTCTTTGT